TCTTCATCCCGCTCAGTTGTCATCCCACTCAGTCTACATCCCACCCTGTCGTCACCCCACTCAGTCGTCAGCCCAATCAGCCTTCATCCCACCCAGTCTTCATCACACACAGTCTTCATCCCACTCAGTCTTCATCCCACTCCGTCGTCATCCCACTCAGTCTTCATCCCACTCCGTTGTCATCCCACTCCGTCGTCATCCCACTTAGTCTTCAGCCCACTTCGTCATCCCACTCCGGCGTCATCCCAATCAGTCTTCATCCCGCTCAGTCTTCATCCCACTCAGTCTTCATCCTACTATGTCTTCATCCCGCTATGTCTTCATCCCACTCCGTCGTCATTCGACTCTGTCTTCAGCCCACTCCGTCGTCATCTCACTCAGTCTTCATCCCACTCCGTCGTCATCACACTCAGTCTTCATCACACTCAGTCTTCATCCCACTCAATCTTCATCCCACTCCGTCGTCACCCCACCCAGTCTTCATCCCACTCCGTCGTCATCCCACTGAGTCTTCAGCCCACTCAGTCTTCATCCCATTCCGGCGTCAGCCCAATCAGTCTTCATCCCACTCAGTCTTCATTCCACTCTGTCTTCAGCCCACTCTGTCTTCATCCCACTCCGTCGGCATCCCACTCAGTCTTCATCCAAATCAATCTTCATCCCACTCAGTCATCATTTCACGCTGTCTTCAGCCCACTCTGTTTTCAGCCCACTCCGTCGTCATCCCACTTAGTCGTCATCCCACTCTTTCGTCATACCACTCATTCGTCAACCGACTCTGTCGTCATCCTACTCAGTCGTCATCCAACTTAGTCGTCATCCCAATTAGTCGTCATCCCAATCAGTCGTCATACCACTCTGTCGTCATCCTACTCAGTCCTCATCCCAATTAGTCGTCATCCCAATCAGTCGTCATGCCACTCTGTCGTCATGCCACTCAGTCGTCAACCCAGTCTGTCGTCATCCTACTCAGTCGTCATTCAACTAAATCGTCATCCGACTTAGTCGTCATCCGAATTAGTCGTTATCCGACTTAGTGGTCATCCGAATTAGTCATCATCGGACTCAGTCGTCATCCCACTCAGTCGTCATCCCAATTTGTTTTCATCACACTCAGTCGTCATGCAACTCTGTCGTCATGCCACTCAGTCGTCATCCCACTCAGTCGTCAACCCAGTCTGTCGTCATCACACTCAGTCTTCATCACACTCAGTCGTCATCCCCCTCAGTCGTCAACCCAGTCTGTCGTCATCCTACTCAGTCGTCATCCAACTTATTCGTCATCCGACTCTGTCGTCATCCCCCTCAGTCGTCAACCCAGTCTGTCGTCATCCCACTCAGTCGTCATCCCACCCTGTCGTCACCCCACTCAGTCGTCAGCCCAATCAGTCTTCATCCCACTCAGTCTTTATCCCAATCCGTCGTCATCCCACTCAGTCTTCATCCCACTCAATCTTCATACCACTCAGTCATCATTCCACGCTGTCTTCAGCCCACTCTGTTTTCAGCGCACTCCGTCGTCATCCCACTTAGTCGTCATCCCACTTAGTCGTCATCCCACTCTTTCGTCATACCACTCATTCGTCAACCGATTCTGTCGTTATCCTACTCAGTCGTCATCCAACTTATTCGTCATCCGACTCTGTCGTCATCCTACTCATTCGTCATTCAACTCTGTCTACAGCCCACTCTATCGTCATCCCATTCTGTCGTCATCCTACTCAGTCGTCATCCAACTTAGTCGTCATCCCAATTAGTCGTCATCCCAATCAGTCGTCATGCCACTCTGTCGTCATGCCACTCAATCGTCATCCCACTTAGTCGTCATCCCAATCAGTCGTCATGCCACTCTGCCGTCATCCCACTCAGTCGTCAGCCCACTCTGTGGTCATCCCACTCTGTCGTCATCTCACTCCGTCGTCATCACACTCAGTATTCATCCCACTCTGTCGTCATCCCACTCAGTCGTCAACCCACTCTGTCGTCATCCCACTCTGTTGTCATCCCACTCCGTCGTCATCACACTCAGTATTAAACCCACTCTGTCGTCATCCCACTCTGTCGTCATCCCACTCCGTCGTCATCACACTCAGTATTCAACCCACTCTGTCGTCATCCCACTCAGTCATCAACCCACTCTGTCGTCATCCCACTCTGTCGTCATTCCACTCAGTCGTCAGCCCAATCATTCTTCATCCCACTCAGTCTTCATCGCACACAGTCTTCATCCCACTCAGTCTTCATCCCGCTCAGTCTTCATCCCACTTAGTCTTCATCACACTCAGTCTTCATCACACTCCGTCGTCATCCCACTCTATCGTCATCCCACTATATCGTCATCCCACTCTGTCGTCATCCCACTATATCGTCATCCCACTCTGTCGTCATCCCACTATATCGTCATCCCACTCAGTTTTCATCCCACTTAGTCGTCAACCCACTCTGTCGTCATTCCACTCACACAGACTAATACCCCGCTCTGGATAGACGCGAACCATTATCAGTGTTCCCACTCTGTCGTCATCCCACTCAGGCCTCATCCCAATCAGTCTTTATCCCAAACAAATCAGTATTTTTGTTTAATGTGATAGTTGATGTAGATGAAAAAGTGGAAATTGCTCAGTGCGGGAATGTTTGGGTTGTTGCTCTTTTCGAGTGGAATTTTCGTGCCATTTTATTCTACTCAAAAACGCTAGCATTTTCACAACGCAACAACATTCCACTTTCACAGTACTCGGTCTATGTAATACATGTACATCGATCTTGTACTAGGTTCGGTCCATGTGTTACATTGATCTTGTACTAGGTTCGGCCTATGTGTTACATTGATCTTGTACTAGGTTCGGCCTATGTGTTACCTTGATCTTGTACTAGGTTCGGCCTATGTGTTACATTGATCTTGTACTAGGTTCGGCCTATGTGTTACATTGATCTTGTACTAGGTTCGGCCTATGTGTTACATTGATCTTGTACTAGGTTCGGCCTATGTGTTACATTGATCTTGTACTAGGTTCGGCCTATGTGTTACATTGATCTTGTACTAGGTTCGGCCTATGTGTTACATTGATCTTGTACTAGGTTCGGCCTATGTGTTACATTGATCTTGTACTAGGTTCGGCCTATGTGTTACATTGATCTTGTACTAGGTTCGGCCTATGTGTTACATTGATCTTGTACTAGGTTCGGCCTATGTGTTACATTGATCTTGTACTAGGTTCGGCCTATGTGTTACATTGATCTTGTACTAGGTTCGGCCTATGTGTTACATTGATCTTGTACTAGGTTCGGCCTATGTGTTACATTGATCTTGTACTAGGTTCGGCCTATGTGTTACATTGATCTTGTACTAGGTTCGGCCTATGTGTTACATTGATTTTTTACTAGGTTCGGCCTATGTGTAACATTGATCTTGTACTAGGTTCGGCTTACATGTTACCTTGATCTTGTACTAGGTTCGGCCTATGTGTTACCTTGATCTTGTTCTAGGTTCGACCTATATGTTACCTTGATATTTTACTAGGTTCGGCCTATGTGTTACATTGATCTTTTACTAGGTTCGGCCTACGTGTTACATTGATCTTGTGTGTTTCGGCCTATGTGTTACCTATGTGTTACATTGAACTTGTACTCGGTTCGGCCAATGTGTTACATTGATCTTGTACTCGGTTCGGCCAATGTGTTACATTGATGCTGTACTAGGTTCGGCCTACGTGTTACATTGATCTTGTGTGGTTCGGCCTATGTGTTACCTTTATCTTGTTCTAGGTTCGACCTATATGTTTCCTTGATATTTTACTAGATTCGGCCTATGTGTTACACTAATCTTGTACTAGGTTCGGCCTCTGTGTTACCTTGATCTTGTTCTAGGTTCGTCCTATATGTTACCTTGATATTTTACTAGATTCGGCCTATGTGTTACACTGATCTTGTACTAGGTTCGGCCTATGTGTTACACTGATCTTGTACTAGGTTCGGCTTACATGTTACCTTGATCTTGTACTAGGTTCGGCCTCTGTGTTACCTTGATCTTGTACTAGGTTCGGCCTATATATTACCTTGATATTTTACTAGGTTCGGCCTATGTGTTACATTGATCTTTTACTAGATTCGGCCTATGTGTTACAATGATCTTGTACTAGGTTCGGCCTATGTGTTACATTGATCTTGTACTAGGTTCGGCCTATGTGTAACATTGATCTTGTACTAGGTTCTACCTATGTGTTACATTGATCTTGTACTAGGTTCGGCCTTTGTGTTACATTGATCTTGTACTAGGTTCGGCCCATGTGTAACATTGATCTTGTATTAGGTTCGGCTTATGTGTTACATTGATCTTGTACTAGGTTCGGCCAATTTGTATCATTGATCTTGTACTAGGTTCGGCCAATGTGTTACATTGATGCTGTACTAGGTTCGGCCTATGTGTAACATTGATCTTGTACTAGGTTCGGCCTATGTGTTACATTGAACTTGTACTCGGTTCGGCCTATGTGTTACATTGATCTTGTACTAGGTTCGGCCTATGTGTTACATTGATCTTGTACTAGGTTCGGCCTATGTGTTATCTTGATCTTGTACTAGGTTCGGCCTATGTGTAACATTGATCTTGTACTAGGTTCGGCCTATGTGTAACATTGATCTTGTACTAGGTTCGGCTTACATGTTACCTTGATCTTGTACTATGTTCGGCTCATGTGTTACAATGATCTTGTACTAGGTTCGGCCTATGTGTTACCTTGATCTTGTACTAGGTTCGGCCTATGTGTTACCTTGATCTTTTACTAGGTTCGGCTCATTTGTTACCTTGATCTTGTACTAGGTTCGGCCTATATGTTACCTTGATATTTTACTAGGTTCGGCCTATGTGTTACCTTAATCTTTTACTAGGTTCAGCCTATGTGTTACATTGATCTTGTACTAGGTTCGGCCTATGCACATGTGTTCATGTGTTACATGTAAACGCTTATTAGTTAGTGGGGGTATCAAGACATGTACTCGCGTCCGCAATAAATTTCACAAAACAGGTACACCGATAAGGATTTACAACGATAAAACACTGTTTGAACTCCTGGAGATAACATATGCTTTATATAAAGCCATAAAGTTTCAGCAAGTCATGATCTCGAGCAACTTGGAAAGATACGCCATTTGTCATCAAACTGTGAGAATTATCTGTGTATACCTTACAAGCTACCTGTGTCCTTTGGTGTAATATGGAAGAGAAAAGCTGAGAACCAGGTAATATTGTGTTTATATGAATAATAGAAAGCAGAGGAAATGTGTGTACTAGATTAAAACAATTGCTGTCACAACTGAACTTGTCATATACATTTGCTTAAGGATTGCTGAAAAGTTCTAGATTTTTGTAATTTGGAATAACCTATTATAAATTTAGAGAAAACATTTGGGCTTGTTTAAAATATTACATTGACTGTTTTATGTACATAGCCAAAATAATTTCGTTTTGAGATCTCATCGTTTCTGATCAAGTCGAGGAATTACACAACAAGATCGAGTCCTAATACTTGGGTTGCTTTATTTGTTCTGGTAATCACTAAACGTTGTTTTCATGCATTGCTATACGGCATGGGGTTTACAGAAACAAATTTAAAAGGAAATCGTGAAGTTATAACAAGCAGCACACAATGACAGTTGTTTGATTTACTGAAGTAACACCACGCGAAAATGTATTTGTCCGAATAAGGGACAGACGTCTAGGACGTATATCGTTTGTTGTAGGAGGAAATAATGACGTAGCGCGTTCTCAGTTTGGTCGACCGGAAAAATGGAATAACATCAAACACTCTCTGTAGTGTCTTTTTAATTCCGACAACCCCAGCGCCTCGGAGTTAGCACTATTTGTAAATAATACTTACTATTAACCGCCAATGTATAGCCCAGCAATGGCTTAAATAACAATATCCCGAACTGACTCAAATCCTACATAAACTCTTTTACTGATGTATGTAATATCTAACTGCGAAAGTCGCCGGGGGTCATATAACAGTGGGGAGTATTTTAAGTTTCTCGTTATAATAACGACTTTTTTCTCGTAATAACGACTTTCAAAACTCGTTATAACGATAAATGTCAAATACTCCTACTGTTTTATGTAGGGGGCTTTCGTACCTAACTGCCAAATGTACGACCTATAATTCTGTCAGCAGAACGGTGTACATCAGAGTTATAATGCCTAGTTCGGGTTTTGATTAAATAGTTTCTGACATGAAATTTCAAAAAGTCCTATGTAGGTATTACCTTTGTGTTTAAATATTTCTTTCGACAGGAGCTTACAATTCCAACACGACAGTGTTAGTCGGGTCTTTATCAGCAAAATATACATCTAGTTAGTATTGTCGGGGTGCAACTATATAAACGGATCTGTGACGTACTGCACTTAAGTTTGATAAAATATACGATCCCGATAACCTTACCAACACAAGGTCAAGATTTTACCTAAAGAAAAATCAATATTTTACTTCCGGCATTCTCGTACATGTGATATAATAATGATCTGAACGAAAAGTGTAACTTTGATTTTACATTGGTCTGATACACTGCATTACAAACAAGACGGGACTTATTTGGAACACTTCACAACAGTGTTCTGTGGAACAGGTAGGATATCTCATCATATACAATGTACCGTTGTGTAAAAGTGTCATTCAGTTCATTTTACCTGTAAACAAACAAATGTGAAGTTGTAATGGTAATAAATAGTTAAAGTATTTTAGATAAAAGTGTTGATATGGAAATTTAAAGTTGAGCAAAAATGGTGGAGAATTTACGAACGAAATTCACACTTACAATCGTTCCACGAATATCAAATCGATAAGTTTGACGTAGGTTTTGTATAGAGGTTATATAGTACACCAAATGATTGTCTTGTAACACCTCGATGACTAGCATGATGTGCAGTCCGTCATATTTACCAGACATAAGATTTTGTGACATCAGATTTGATCAGACGAAGGTGACAGAGGGCATATCGTACAAATCATCGTCACATATACATATTTAACTGGTTAAGTTTGACGTGTCTGTATTTGGTATGATTAACACTATTGACCGTATTATCCGTGTTTATTATTCAATTATAACCCTTGGCTGAGGTCGATACCTGGATTTATCAGCCCGAGAAAAGATATATTAACCGAGGACGCAGTTAAAGGCTACAATTGTTTTATTATTTTCAAAACAGTAATGTGAGCAATCTGACAAAAAAAGCAACGGATGCGGGACGGTGCGTTCAATTGAAGACACGTCATAATTCGATTTTTAGCAACACCATTTCTTCAACAAAAATTACACGCTCCACGTCAATAAAGGGTTGTATTGGTGGACACCTGATGCACTTCTGGCCAATCACTTGTTGGGAATAAAATGAAAACATTATAAGATATGATGAAAAATGACGAGGGCTCCAGCTCGACTAAAAAATCCAAATCAGGAAAAAACGCTATACTATAATGTAACTACAACTAATACATTTAGCGTGACTTCAAAACTGTTGCAAATGGTTTTTGTATCATCTAGTTAAAACAAATGTCACGTAATGTATATCAAATTAAATTATTATTGAAACTTCCCAATAGATCGAGTCGGATTTGGTAGGTTACGTTGTAATTATGGGATAAACCTAGCTAAGAATTTTTTAACAATTTTTAAAATAGGATATTGGTTGGTATACATGTATAATTTCAAATGTAATATAGAACATTTCAGATTGTTAATAAAATCATATTAATTTAGGTAACCAATATGGCTGAATCTTCTAGAGCAACGAGGCATATGCTGAAAGCTACCGACGATGGTAGCATAGAGGATTATGACAAATGGATAGGTCGAGGAGCTGATATGTCTGGTACAGACAAGAAAGGGCAGAACGCGCTACACTTCCTAGTGAAACAGGGAAAGTTTAACATGCTACAACACATACTCACCAGCAAACCGGAAGTGTGTCAGCTGGTGAACAAAGTAGACAGCAAAGGGTGGTCCCCGCTACATCTCTGCTGTATACAACATCCCGTGGAACTCCGAACACTCGAACTGTTACTGACGTTTGGAGGTGATCCTACCATAGAACACAGGTGTGGTAACTGTAAGGACCTTGTGGATAAAGATGCCAAGGACTTTCTACATTGGAGGAAGCGTCATAACAAAGGTAGGTACTATATAGCAATGTGTAGTGTCACTCAAATCCAATCTTTCATTTACTGTAAAAGTGGAAATATTCGTGGTGTGGAAATGCAAGCACTTTTGGGCTGAGTTAATTAGCGAGAAATGTTCAACACTCTAATATATATTCATAGAGGAAGATGATATATAAATTATAGATATATATATATATATCATATATAAATTATAGATATATATATATCATATATAAATTTCGCAACCATTGCCAGGGCAAAATAGTTCCACCCGTGAAACCTTTCAGTACGTTTTACAAGCTACTTGAAGTAGCAAATATAATAAGATTGGTAAAACATATCGCAAAACAATCAATATAAACCATAAATAGAAAACAGTTTATAAATTCATAATATAGAACGTACATAATAAAAATCATAAAATTAAATATGAATATATTTAAAAAAATATTTAATCACGTAAACCATTGTGGACTGTAGGATTACCAAGTGATATCAGGCTTCTCCCTAACAAGCTCATTGTTGAATACATGGGGAGATTTGGACATCTTGATGACGACTTCACACTAAATTATGACAAATTTTTGGAGGAGGGACAAGTCGAATCTGCCGTTATCCAGATAGTTATAGCAGGTCCACAAGGTGTAGGTAAAACCACTCTATTGCACTCTATGACGGGGTCGAAAGTAAAGAAAAACGGCCCGAACCCAACAAGATGTATAGAAATGTTTCCTATGAAATTTACAATTGACTTGGATGACGTCACTACGGAGGACCATGGAGATGGAACGGATTATATGACATACTTACAGCAATTCGTGGACACTGTGCTCAAGAGGATGGAAGGTAAACTGTTTTATGTATAGTCGAAAATAAACGAAAGAGCATTCCTATCAAGAATCACTTTTATTCTATTAATGATAATCTAGCTAAGATACCACTTTTGATCCCCGGGGTTTGTTTACACATATTTGACGGTAGATTGAATAATGTCCTTTTCGCTAGTGATATGCTTTTCTCGCGGTTATGTTCTCCACACCACATGATAGTCATGTGATCAAAATCAACACTAAAACGTGTTAACTGTTTTATAAATTTTTAAGTGCGACCTGTTAAATTTTATAACCCATAGTTCAGACATGTCTATGTATTAGATCCTTTTCCTTTATATTTAGATTCAGGACTACCAAGAAGTCAGACTTGGCTGAAGCGACACCTGTCTATCAGCTCTCGTTCTGGTCAGGAGGTTGCTGTGTCGAGACAAAGTAAGAGACGTTGTAATCTAATCTGTTGACCCCTAACGACATACATGTGTTTGGGTACTCTTCCAAGACTATCAGTTGTACAGTCTAATATCAAGAGTGAATGAGTCAATGAGTTTAACCTACTCAGGTGTAAGCTATTGGTTAGGAGTTGTGTCATTACTTTTCATACATTTTTAAAACTACTCTAATAAATTGACCAATCAGTAACATATCATTTGACTGTTAATTCCATCAGACATTAGTAACACAGGCTACAGAAAATGTTGCAACTTGTGTCATATCAATTAAGTGAAAGAACATTAAAACTTATTTACTAATTGTAATGTCTCTTTCGTTATTCTTGTAGAAACCAAAGGCACAAATTCGAAGGCAAATTTGTCCATATTGGATTTTTCTGGAGATGATGTATACCAGGATATTCAACATTGGTTTATGACTAATCACGGAGTCTATTTTCTAATATTCTCATTAAAGGAATACCCACATCTGGTCAAGGTGTTAGGTAGGTACAGCTATACCCATATCTAGTCCATATGTAGGGTAGATACAGTTATACTCACATCTGGTCCATGAGTAAGGTAGATTGTCCAAAGGTAAGGCAGATACAGCTATACCCACAGCTTGTCCAGAAGTTAGATAAGTACAACTAGCCTTACCCACAGCTGGTCCAGGTGTAGAATAGGTACAGCTATACCCACAGCTTGTCCAGGTGTAGAATAGGTACAGCTATACCTACAGCTGGTCCAGGTGTTAGGTAGGTACAACTATACCCACACCTGGTTCAGGTGTTAGGTAGGTACACCGATATCCACAACTGGTCCAAGCGATAGGAAGGTAAAGATATACACACCGCTAGCCCAGGTGATAGGTAGGTTCGGAGATACAAACAGCTGGTCCATATGATATGTAGGTACAGAGATACACCCAGCTGGTCCATATGATATGTAGGTACAGAGATACACACAACTGGTCAAAGTGTTAGGTAGGTACAGAGGTACACACAGCTGGTCTATATGATAGGTAGGTACAGTTATCCACACAGCTAGTCCAGGTGATAGTTAGGTACAGAGATACACACAGCTGATCCAGGTTTTAGGTAGGTACAACTATACCCACACCTGGTCCAGGTGTTAGGTCGGTACAACTATATCACCAGCTGGTCCAGGTGTAAAGTAGGTACAGGGATACAAACCGCTGGTCCAGGTGGTAGGTAGGTACAGGGATATCCACCGCTGGTCTTAGTGTTAGGTAGGTAAAGAGATAAACACCGCTGTCGAGGTGTTAGGTAGGTACACCGATATCCACAACTGGTCCAAGCGATAGGAAGGTAAAGATATACACACCGCTAGCCCAGGTGATAGGTAGGTACAGTTATTCACACAGCTAGTCCAGGTGATAGTTAGGTACAGAGATACACACAGCTGGTCTATATGATAGGTAGGTACACTTATCCACACAGCTAGTCCAGGTGATAGTTAGGTACAGAGATACACACAGCTGATGCAGGTGTTAGGTAGGTACGGCTATACCCACAACTGGATATAAATTATAGATATATATATATATATATCTATAATTTATATATGATATATATATATCTATAATTTATATATGATATATATATATCTATAATTTATATATGATATATATATATCTATAATTTATATATGATATATATATATCTATAATTTATATATGATATATATATATCTATAATTTATATATGATATATATATATCTATAATTTATATATGATATATATATATATATAATTTATATATTTTACCTACCTAACACTAAGACCAGCTGTGGATATCCCTGTACCTACCTAACACTTGGACCAGCTGTTTGTATCTCTGTACCTACCCATCATATGGACCAGCTGTGTGTATGATAGGTAGGTACAGATATATCCACAGCTACAGCTGGTCCAGGTATAGAATAGGGAAAGCTATACCCACATCTTGTCCAGGCGCAAGGCGGGTACATGGATACCCAGCGCTGGTCCAGGTGTAAGGAAGTTACAGGGATACGCACAGCTGGTCCAGATGATAGGTAGATACAGTTATCCACACAGCTAGTCCAGGTGATAGTTAGGTACAGAGATACACACAGCTGATCCAGGTTTTAGGTAGGTACAACTATACCCACACCTGGTTCAGGTGTTAGGTAGGTACACCGATATCCACAACTGGTCCAAGTGATAGGTAGGTAAAGATATACACACCGCTAGACCAGGTGATAGGTAGGTCCAGAGAAACACACAGCTGGTCCAGGTATAGAATAGGTAAAGCTATCCCCACATCTGGTCCAGAAGGAGGGTAGGTACAGATATGCCCACAGCTTGTCCAGAAGTTAGATAAGTACAACTAGCCTTCCCCACAGCTGGTCCAGGCGCAAGGCGGGTACATGGATACCCAGCGCTGGTCCAGGTGTAAGGTGGGTGCATGGATAACCACATCTGGTCCAGAAGGAGGGTAGGTACAGATATATCCACAGCTGGTCCAGGTTTAAGGTAGTTACAGGGATACGCACAGCTGGTCCAGATGATAGGTAGGTACAGTTATTCACACAGCTAGTCCAGGTGATAGTTAGGTACAGAGATACACACAGCTGATCCAGGTGATAGGTAGGTTCAGAGATACAAACAGCTGGTCCAGGTGTAAAGTAGGTACAGGGCTACACAAAGCTGGTCCATATGATAGGTAGGTACAGTTATTCACACAGCTAGTCCAGGTGATAGTTAGGTACAGAGATACACACAGCTGATCCAGTTGTTAGGTAGGTACAACTATACCCACACCTGGTCCAGGTGTTAGGTCGATACAACTATATCAACAGCTGGTCCAGGTGTTAGGTAGGTACAGCTATACCCACAACTGGTCCAGGTGTAGAATAGGTACAGCTATACCTACAGCTGGTCCAGGTATTAGGTAGGTACAGAGATACACACAGATGATCCAGGTGTTAGGTAGGAACAGAGATACAAACAGCTGGTCCAGGTGTAAGGTAGTTACAGGGATACGCACAGCTGGTCCAGATGATAGGTAGATACAGTTATCCACACAGCTAGTCCAGGTGATAGGTAGGTACAGAGATACACACAACTGATCCAGGTGTTAGGTAGGGACAGAGATACACACAGCTGATGCAGGTGTTAGGTAGGTACAACTATATCAAGAGCTGGTCCAGGTGTTAGGTTGGTACAGCTATACCCACAACTGGTCCAGGTGTTAGGTTGGTACAGCTATACCCACAACTGGTCCAGGTGTTAGGTAGGTACAGAGATACACACAGCTGGTCCATATGATAGGTAGGTACAGAGATACACACAGCTGATCTATATGATAGGTAGGTACAGTTATCCACACAGCTAGTCCAGGTGATAGGTAGGTTCAGAGATACAAACAGCTGGTCCAGATGTTAGGTAGGTACAGAGATACACACAGCTGGTCCATATGATATGTAGGTACAGAGATACACACAGCTGATCCAGGTGTTAGGTAGGTACAGAGATACACACAGCTGGTCCATATGATAGGTAGGTACAGTTATTCACACAGCTAGTCCAGGTGATAGGTAGGTACAGAGAAACACACAGCTGGTCCAGGTATTAGGTAGGTACAGAGATACCCACAGCTGGTCCAGGTGTAAGGTAGGTACAGGGATACACACAGCTGGTCCATATGATAGGTAGGTACAGAGATACACACAGCTGGTCCGTATGATAGGTAGGTACAGTTATTCACACAGCTAGTCCAGGTGTAAGGTAGTTACAGGGATACACACAGCTGGTCCAGGTGTTAGGGAGGTACAGAGATACCCACAGCTGGTCCAGGTGGAAGGTAGGTACAGGGATACACACAGCTGGTCCAGGTGTTAGGGAGGTACAGAGATACCCACAGCTGGTCCAGGTGTAAGGTAGTTACAGGGATACCCACACCTGGTCCAGGTGTTAGGTAGGTACAGAGATACCCACAGCTGGTCCAGGTGTAAGATAGTTACAGGGATACCCACACCTGGTCCAGGTGTTAGGTAGGTACAGAGATACCCACAGCTGGTCCAGGTGTTAGGTAGGTACAGAGATACACACAGCTGGTCCAGGTGATAGGTAGGTACAGTTATCCACACAGCTGGTCCAGGAGTACAGGGATACACACAGCTGGTCCAGGTGTTAGGGAGGTACAGAGATACCCACAGCTGGTCCAGGTGTAAGGTAGTTACAGGTATACACACAGCTGGTCCAGGTGTTAGGTAGTTACAGGGATACACACAGCTAGTCCAGATGTTAGGTAGGTACAGGGATACACTCAGCTGGTCCAGGTGTTAGGTAGGTACAGAGATACACACAGCTGGTCCAGGTGTTAGGTAGGTACAACTATACCCACACCCGGTCCAGGTGTTAGGTAGGTACAGGGATACACACAGCTGGTCCAGATGATAGGTAGATACAGTTATCCACACAGCTAGTCCAGGTGATAGTTAGGTACAGAGATACACACAACTGGTCAAAGTGTTAGGTAGGTACAGATATATCCACAGCTGGTCAAAGTGTTAGGTAGGTACAGATATATCCACAGCTGGTCAAAGTGTTAGGTAGGTACAGATATATCCACAGCTGGTCCAGGTGTTAGGTAGGTACATATATACCCACAGCTGGTCAAAGTGTTAGGTAGGTACAGAGATACACACAACTGGTCAAAGTGTTAGGTAGGTACAGATATATCCACAGCTGGTCAAAGTGTTAGGTAGGTACAGATATATCCACAGCTGGTCAAAGTGTTAGGTAGGTACAGATATATCCACAGCTGGTCCAGGTGTTAGGTAGGTACATATATACCCACAGCTGGTCAAAGTGTTAGGTAGGTACAGAGATACACACAACTGGTCAAAGTGTTAGGTAGGTACAGATATATCCACAGCTGGTCAAAGTGTTAGGTAGGTACAGATATATCCACAGCTGGTCAAAGTGTTAGGTAGGTACAGATATATCCACAGCTGGTCCAGGTGTTAGGTAGGTACATATATACCCACAGCTGGTCAAAGTGTTAGGTAGGTACAGAGCTACCCACAATTGGTCCAAGTGTTAGGTAGGTACAGATATACCCACAGCTGGTCAAAGTGTTAGGTAGGTACAGAGATACCCATAGCTGGTCCAGGTGTTAGGTAGGTACAGAGATACCCACACCTGGTCCAGGTGTTAGGTAGGTACAGAGATACACACAGCTGGTCCAGGTGTAAGGTAGGTACAAAGATACCCACAGCTGGTCCAGGTGTTAGGTAGGTACAGGGATACACACAGCTGGTCCAGGTGTTAGGTAGGTACACCGATATCCACAACTGGTCCAAGTGATAGGTAGGTAAAGATATACACACCGCTAGACCAGGTGATAGGTAGGTACATTTATACACACCGCTGGTCCAGGTGTTAGGTAGGTAAAGAGATACACACAGCTGGTCCAGGTGATAGGTAGGTACAGTTATCCACACAGCTGGTCCAGGTGATAGGTAGGTACAAATATACCCACAGATGGTCCAGGTGATAGGTAGGTACAGAGATACACACAGCTGGTCCATGTGATAGGTAGGTACAACTATACACACAGCTGGTCCAGGTGTTAGGTAAGTACAGATATACACACAGCTGGTCCAGGTTATAGGTAGGTACATTTATCCACACAGCTGGTCCAGGTGTTAGGTAGGTACAGAGATACACACAGCTGATCCAGGTGATAGGTAGGTACAGTTATCCACACAGCTGGTCCAGGTGATAGGTAGGTACAAATATTCCCACAGCTGGTCCATGTGTTCGGTAGGTACAGTTATCCACACAGCTGGTCCAGGAGTAAGGTAGTTACAGCTATACCCACAGCTAGTCCTTGTGTTAGGTCCATGTAGCTACAGATTTTACTTCAATTTTGATAATCTAGGTAGACAAAATCAAACGTGGGACGTATACAAAGAAAATCTCAATCTGAAGTGAAGGTTTCTTACCTGGGATGACGTGATACCTTGTTAGTTGTTTTTTTACAGGTAGGTAAAACCAGGTTCATGTATTTCCCTCCTATCACATTCTAAAATTATTATGTTATTAATCCAGCAAAATCTTGATTCTATGTTGATGAAACTGGCTCATACGCACGGTTGTTTTTCTCGATATAAGCGAATGGTGGCACAAAGTAAACATCGAGGTGATATGAGTTTTGCAACATTAAGCTGATATTTTGTTTTATGTTTGGATGTTTTTTTAACGTTTTAGATGGTATTTTCACACGACTTCAATACATCTCCCTTTACCACGAGGACGGAAATCACCCGGCTGTGATATTGGTAGGAACGCACCTCGACAAGGTCCCAAACTCGGTAAGACTTATACATATCATGTATCTACATTGCCGGGCGGGTAACAGGCTTGACAAGGTCCCAAACTCGGTAAGACTTATACATATCATTTATCTACACTGTCGGGCGGGTTACAGGCTTGACAAGGTCCCAAACTCTGTTAGACTTATACATATATTTTTTCTACATTGTCGGGAGGGTTTCAGGCCTGATAAGGTCCCAAACTCAGTAAGACTTATAAATAAAAAAAAATCTACATTGCCAGGCGGGTAATAGGCTTGACAAGGTCTCCAACGCGGTAAGATTTAAATATATAATTGATCTTAATTGTCTGGCGGGTTACAGGCTTGACATGGTCCTCAACGCGTTAAGACTGATATATATCATGTACTTGACAAGATCCCAAACTCGGTAAGACTTGTAAATAGTATTTATCTACATTGTCGGGCGGGTTACATGCTTGACAAGGTCCCAAACTCGCTACGACTTATACATATTATTTATCTATATTGTGGGGTGGGTTACAGGCTTGACAAGGCCCCCAATGCAGTAAGACTCATAAATAGCATGTACGTGACAAGATCCCAAACTCGGTTAGACTTATAAATATCATTTATCTATACTGTCGGGCGGGTAGCAGGCGTGACAGGGTCCCCAACGCGTTAAGACTTATATATATCATGTACATGACACGATCCCAAACTCGGTTAGACTTATAAATGTTATGTATCGACAATGTCGGGCAAGTAGCAGGCGTGACAAGGTCCCCAATTCGGTACGACTTATACATATAATTTATCTACGTTGTCGGCCGGATTACAGGCCTGACAAGATTCCAAACTCGGTAAGACTTATAAATACTATTTATCTACATTGCCGGGCGGGTTACAAACTTGACAAGGTCTCCAACGCGGTAAAACTTATAAATATCATGTACGTAACAAGGTCCCCAACTCGGTAAGACTTTTAAATATCATGTATCTTCATTGTCGGGTGGGTTACAGGCTTGCACCATATTGTTTAGTCAGTTTTAAACTCTTCTGAATAGCTAAAACATGTTTTTTGGTCTTTTTTATCAGGCACAAAAGTATGAACAGATACACGCGGAAATTATGGAACATCTGCAGGGATATTCTGATGTCGGAAAATATGCTCTCGAACACGTGAAAGGTGTTTTTCTCGTGGACAATCATGATTTGTCTCAAAAAGCAAAAGACCAGATATGGCAGGCTGTCACAGGAGCAGCCATTGACGGTCCAAAATGGCGGCGCCTCGTTCCCACCAGATGGCTAGCATTGGAACGAGAGATAATTCTCTACAAGGACAGTGGTCACAAAGTGATGACGTTTGGAAATTTCTGCACAATTGCAAAGGAATTGGCGGTACCTATACAGGATGATGAACAAGTGAAGGACGTTCTCAGGTTAGGTCTAAATATAAAATTTTGTAACAGCAAAGGGAAATGATTTTATAAATAATGCACAATCTAATTACAAATACTATCACGAATCAAGCAAGAATAATAAACGGTTAACATGTAATTTTATGTAATGTTAAATATTGATCATAATTGAATATATTATATCCTTGTAATGAAAACAATATACATTAATTATCTCATGAAATCATTTATTTCTGGTTCTCGTTTGTTTCATTATTGTTAAACGGTGCTGTCATATTGTGTTCATTGTTAAGAAACTGGCCAAGCATTATACGGAAATAATGATATTTGGATAAATTTGTAACAAGGCCATGATCTTTCTTTGCGTTGATAAATAGCTCTCTTTAGATATGTAGTGTCGGATATAAATATTTAACGACACGTGTAGTATAAAACATGTTAACACTTAACCTTACAGTTTAACAAGGTGATCAAATAAACAGTACAAGGGGTGAAATTGTTTCCCCTGAAATAGTGGCTTGACCACTGGTCAACCTTAATGTAAAACTGCCTTTATGTTATACGGCCCGTTTTAATTCTATTTTGTTATGAAAAGTATCGAAAATTGTTGTTAGAAAATAATCATGGCACGCAAAATGTTGTTGATAATAATAATAATAATAATAATAATAATAATAATTCGAGGTCCTTATATACCGCTTTATCACAACCTAGTTCGTAGGTCGTCTCAAAGCGGTTGACAAATTATTATCCGTGGTTATAGGGCCTTTGCAACCAGCCAAAATCTTATTCAACTCCCTGGGGAGCATACAGCCGGTGCTGCCATTTCGACGCTCACAGCTAGCATTCCACGAATCTAGCACTACCCAACCACGTGCTCATTTACAGCTGAGTAAACTGGAACAAGCGGAGTAAAGTATCTTGCTCAAAGATACAACACAGTGCCGTGCCGTGACTCGAACCCGAAACCCGCCGGCGTCCTACCACTAGACTACCGTGCCTCCTAAACAATATCAAAATGTTAAGAAGTTAACAATGTCAAGAAATTTGTGTATCAATAAAGTCCTTTGTGCAAGCATAGCTATTGTTTATTTATAGGACAGGTAAATGTACAGAGACTTAGTTAAGTGCCGTGACGAGACTCGAACTCTTGTTGATAATCATAATGTGAAGGTCACCTTAAATTGAAACATATTGAAATATAAAACGACTTGTACTGAAATGTTCTTATAAAAGTACGTTGAACAGACAGAATATAGCATGTAGCTATAATTTATTGATTATTCCTTTGATGCTTGTTAACAACAGAACCATGGAAGTCTGTTTTCAGGTGCGCAATTAAATAATGTCACCACAAAGTGTCAATTCCCAATGCCACAACATGACAAAGATCGTGTCGTTAGTGACTGGCATATTTTCCACGGTTTGATAGAGACATCACGAAGGGTGCCAAGAGTGGCGCAGGTTAGGTTGACCTTCAGGAATACCTTTTCTCTTTTTGTCTCCTTTCCAATTTCCCGTGAGCAGTTTAATACCTGACGTTGTAATTATGTATTTGCTTTATAATCATTGTTCCTTTTTTGTCACAATCTTATTTTAACTTTAAAAAAAATTGTGTCTGAATGTTATATATTTTGTCTTTAAGATTCTTGCACAAGAAGAAATCTATTCTGATATGCCAAACAGCTTCGTCCATCACATCACATGACCCGATAGTTGTGGATACACAATGGCTGATCAATCAACTGGTCGAACTATTAACAGTCAAACAGCCTTACGTATCGTCTCAGTTTGTAGAAAGCTTTTTGGAACGTGACAGCAAGGAAGGGAAACCAAGAAACAAGAAGAACTTCATAGCAGCAGTTACCCGACTGTCGTTGATTGCCGAGCCTCTTCCAGCAAAAACAGAAAACAAAGCCAGCTACTACGTTGTGCCGTGCATGCTACCGCCTGTCAATAATAAGCTTATCGGGTCCATTCTAGATCAGGCGAATAAGTCTTCCTCCCTGTGGGTCGTTTCGAACGATCAATTCATTCCACCTGCACTAAACGACAAACTGTTGACAATATTCATCAATAGGTTTGAAGTGCTTTTCGATCCGATATCTCGCGAGAGTTTGATATATAGACATAACGCTGGTTTTATAGTGAATCCCGGTTTGAACTTAACACTACAGTGCAGCAGCTCTATGGTTAAATTGACTTTGTTTTCATCCACCGGTTCTCAAATGCATGATGGGATCGGGAATATCATTCGGCAATCGGTGGTAGGCTTGTTTGAAGACCCCAAGAAATTTGAATGCCGTTTTCTCTATGAAGACGGTTCAAAGGAGAATTTCGTGAAAGTCTCTGACGATGGATCATTCAGCAGGAAGTCAGTTTCCCTCAATCAGGATCTATCAAGGGACATGGCCATCTGGTTCGGACAGGTACCTTATACACTAACAGCACGCAAGTGCTCAGAGCCTGATTTAAATAACCTGTCATTAACTAAATTATCTTAATTTTAGTTTAAAGCAACTGAATAAAAAATATTTTCAATAACTTTGAATATCATGTTTAATTCTTACGCTTGCTATTTCTGTTATGTATTTCAATATTTAAACAATGATGGAAGAGCTATGGTTTTCAGTGGCCGCCATTTATACGGCTGACAAAATCTTCTAGGAAAACTTGTTCGAAACGAAACCAAAAATTAACTATTATCGTTAATGTGTAATGATGGATTATGTTTTACCCTTTCAGACGCCAGACAGTGCTGCGACTGGTATGTTGCTTGTAGTTTATTTGATAATTGACGCGCATATACAAGTTTATAGCAAATTGGTCAGACTGAAGTATATTTATATTTCGCGTATTTTGATTTCTCAAACTAACTCTGTACTCTTTTGTGAGAACATCAATATTTGGCGTTCAATTAACGCATGTGTTCTGGGTAACACATGAATTCAATGATCGTACATCAACGCGAATTATAGCATACACAAGATTATTTAAAAAGATGAATGCACAGGAAGGCCCCTTTCGCGTATCCGGTTCCATCAGTTGAAACGGTTAAACCTGAAAGAAAACAACAGGCGCAGGTCTGAACCGCGGCATTTGTAGATTGAGGGGTCGAGACGTGCCTGAACGAACTTAAAATGCTGACTACTGCTAGTTTGCGTAATTTCTTTATAGAATAAGGTCAAGCCACATGAATATTTTAAGATACACTAAATGATTAAGTGGACGCGTGAAAAAAGGGAAAACTATCCTTTATACAATGTTATTTATTCTCCCAAACTGTGCATTTTTTTTTAGCTCAAAGTGCGTTCGTTTATCGTGGAATATTTCTGCGCCACCTGAATCGTTTCAACCAGGACTTTAGTGAAGTCGTAATAAAAACACTTTTTGTAGTGGAGTTTAAAATGTAAAAGTGACTTGCAATTTGCTGTTTATTTTTCAAAGGCACCAGTTTTAATCCAAAAGAAGATCCAGAACTTAGTCCAAAACGTCTGAGCCATGTTGCAAAACATATCGGGAATAGCTATGCCGTAGTGTGTGCGTGCCTTGGAGTAGAGACTGCTGTCGTCGAACAGGTAACGTGGCTTGGTGCTACACGTGTCTCTTTTTTTGCTATAAAATGGTCTCCCTGACTGCCTGCAGTAATAGAGTGAAATAGGGCGAAATGTCTCTATGATATTTGACAGTTGACTTTACTGATTTAGAACACTGTCGCTAAGTGAGTTCTTTACAGCGGTACATAGTCAAGACACCGGTCATTTGCACTCTTTCCCTGACAAAGGAATTGACGTTTTCGAAAGCTCACGAAATAAGTTTTCAATTCCTGTCTGTATTCAAAACAAACTGAACCTTTACGGAAGAGGGCATCATAGCGGTGTTGACATGCTCGGTGTTATTCGCGTTGAATAAATTAACGCGAAAATATCCACACGCTGTCTACTTAATCGTATTATATTTATATGTTTCATATCAATAGCCAAGCAAAAATGATCAGTTTGAAGACGCGAACACTTCCACACACGCAAATGTCTACTTTTACACTAATTACATGCATGTAGAAACTTGGAATACGTAATAACATACATGTTATGCAATGTAATAAAAAGGGAATGCTTCGCGTCGCCAGTAAAATTCAGTTTGCGACAGTATAATCATGATATACCGCCGCTTATTTCAAAAAATACAGTCGCGCTATCCCCTAAATAGACGATTCTGAATAGTTAATTGCTAAGTCATGATTGTGAAAGAATAAAATAAAATTGGATATGAAAAGAAAAAGGCAAAATAAGTACACTCAAAGTATTAATGCTTCACAAAGTTTCAAAGTGGCAATAACAAGATTAAGTAAGTACTAAGTACTGAAATCAAATTGCTCAACCAGCATTAGATTGTGTACATGTACTTATGTACGATGTATGAGGCACTTTTCAATATAGTAATTGAAACATTGAAATATGTCGGCGTTAGGCAGGTGGAAAACGAATCGATAGACACAGGATCGAGGTTTTAAGTTATTCCAATCGGGGTCTCTATGATTGGATCATTATAAATATAATCAGTACTTTTTGGCACACTTTAAATGTTTGGTGAACCTTAAAGCAACACATATAGTTAGGTTAGAATGAATTCATGGATATTTATGTTTTAGGTAGTAAATAGGGAAATGATGTCAGATATAATTGATTTTGGAGCTTAAAGAGGTCGCAATTGTTTTTAATAATTTGCAAAGCTTTAATGCCTGTCTAGAAAGGTAAGATATAGTAAGCCTTTCTATTATTTTAATAGTGCAATTCTATGAACAAATCAGTAGGAAATCCGTATAACAAATTAATGAAAATGTGTTCTATTCAAATTCGTTAATAAACAGGAAAGATATCAGCATAGACATCTTGACTTCCGATCACAACTGACGAAAATTCTCCTGCGTTGGCGGGCATTGCAGAAAGGTCGTGCTTCTCTTGGGAAACTTATTGAAGCGATGAAAATGAACAACCTTTCTCACGAGGAGATGTTATTAGATCCTGTCTGGGCTGGTGAAACGGCAATGACAAAACTCAAAGATGCAGGTAAATTATATTCCTCCATTTATGTTTATAAAACATGTATGTTTCAGTTACGATTTTTATTTGTAAATATACTTTCATTATCGTGTCTACGTCACGGATTAATATTTCTAATAAAGTAGTTAAAGAATTACCATGGAAACATGCCAAAATAATGATAACAATAAATTGTATTTATTGAGGATTAAAAAACCTGATTTAGCCTAAGGCTAAACTCCCTCAGGGTCCTCTATATTAGTAAAATGTGTAAGTTTTACATAGTATTTTTTAAAACAAAGTAACATAAATTAAACATAAATGACATCTAAAATATAAGTTATGAGATTGCTGTAAATATTACATGCAATAATATAGTACAGTGTACAATACATCAAATATCACAGAAAGCATACATCGCATGCTTTGAAGGTCTGATAATAGTTAAATGGCCGGAGCCTTACATACATATATGCTTATATAGCAAAGTATAAAAATTACCAGGATATACGCTAATATAGCATAAATTAAATACTGTTTTCTTTAGCTAAAAGTAGGAATCACAGTAGTGCTTTATAGCTCTATGCTGAAACGTGTTAAAAGATGGTGATGACCTTACATCAATTGGCAGTACATTCCAAGTCTTACAAATTGATAAAACTAGACTAGAAGGTTGTCCTGTGCTTAGGAATGTACAACATATTCTGTTCAGGCCGTCGCGTAGCTCTGGAGTGGACACTGTTTACATGTTTAAAACAAGAACATAAATATTCAGGAACAAGTCCATGTACACATTTTAAGGTCATTACAGACTTTTTATAATTTATATACAATTTGAAAGGCATCCATTTCAACCCAGAAAACAATTCTTTTGAAGGAGTTTCAATTGGAACATCTAAAATTAGGCGTGCTGCACGTTTTTGTAATTTACATAATTTGTTCATTGTATTGTCAGTAGAGCCTCCCCACATTGTACAGCAGTATACAAAATGCGGAAATACACATGAACTTACTGACAGATACTGATGCTAGCATCCCTCATGCTAAAAGTAGCATCATATGAATGTGTCGGTACCATCTAGCATGCAAACATTTGTTTGTCCTACGGTTTTCTATCATGTGAAAATAACTTTGACCAGCTTGCTGCTGCTGCTGCTGTATAAGACATCTTCCTGGTTACGTATATAATTAGTACTGCATATGCTGCTGTATCAGACAAGCTTGCTGGTTACGTATATAATAAGTACTGTACATGCTGCTGTATAAGACAAGCTTGTTGGTTACGTATATAATTAGTACTGTACATGCTTCTGTATCAGACACCTTCCTGGTTACGTATATAATTAGAATTGTATATGCTGCTGTATCAGACAAGCTGGCTGGTGTCACATATATAATTAGTACTGTACATGCTGCTGTATCAGACAAACCTGCTGGTTACGTATCTAATTAGTACTGTCCATGCTGCTGTATAAGACAAGCTTGCTGGTTACGTATATAATTTGTCCTGTACATGCTGCTGTACCAGACAAGCTTGCTGGTGACGTATATAATTAGTACTGTACATGCTGCTATATCAGACAAGCTTGCTGGTAACGTATATAATTGGTCCTGTACATGCTGCTGTATCAGACAAGCCTGCTGGTTACGTATATAATTAGTACTGTACATGCTTCTGTATCAGACAAGCCTGCTGGTTACGTATATAATTAGTACTGTCCATGCTGCTGTATCAGACAAGCTTGCTGGTTCCAATTCTAATTAGTACTGTATATGCTGCTGTATCAGACAAGCTTGCTGGTTACGTATATAATTATTCCTGTACATGCTGCTTTATCAGACAAGCTTGCTGGTTACGTATATAATTAGTACTGTATATGCTGCTGTATCAGACAAGCTTGCTGGTTCCAATTCAAATTAGTACTGTATATGCTGCTGTATCAGACAAGCTTGCTGGTTCCAATTCTAATTAGTACTGTATATGCTGCTTTATCAGACACGCTGGCTGGTTACGTATATAATTAGTACTGTCCATGCTGCTGTATCAGACAAGCTTGCTGGTTCAAATTCAAATTAGTACTGTATATGCTGCTGTATCAGACAAGCTTGCTGGTTACGTATATAATTAGTACTGTATATGCTGCTGTATCAGACACGCTGGCTGGTTACGTATATAATTAGTACTGTACATGCTGCTGTATCAGACAAACCTGCTGGTTACGTATCTAATTAGTACTGTCCATGCTGCTGTATAAGACAAGCTTGATGGTTACGTATATAAATGGTCCTGTACATGCTGCTGTATTAGACAAGGTTGCTGGTTACGTATCTAATTAGTACTGTACATGCTTCTGTATCAGACAAGCCTGCTGGATACGTATATAATTAGTACTGTCCATGCTGCTGTATAAGACAAGCTTGATGGTTACGTATATAATTGGTCCTGTACATGCTGCTGTATTAGACAAGGTTGCTGGTTACGTATCTAATTAGTACTGTACATGCTTCTGTATCAGACAAACCTGCTGGTTACGTATATAATTAGTACTGCATATGCTGCTGTATCAGACACGCTGGCTGGTTACGTATATAATTAGTACTGTACATGCTGCTGTATCAGACAAGCCTGCTGGTTACGTATATAATTAGTACTGTATATGCTGCGGTATCAGACACGCTGGCTGGTTACGTATATAATAAGTACTGTATATGCTGCTGTATCAGACAAGCTTGCTGGTTACGTATATAATTGGTCCTGTACATGCTGCTGTATAAGACAAGCTTGCTGATTACGTATATAATTATTACTGTACATGCTGCTGTATCAGACAAGCTTTCTGGTTACGTATATAATTAGTACTGTACATGCTTCTGTATGAGACAAGCCTGCTGGTTACGTATATAATAAGTACTGCACATGCTGCTGTATCAGACAAGCTTGCTGGTGACGTATATAATAAGTACTGTACATGCGTCTGTATAAGACAAACTGGCTGGTTACGTATATAATTAGTACTGTATTTGCTGCTGTATAAGACAAGCTTGCTGGTTTCGTATATAATTAGTACTGTATATGCTGCTGTATCAGACACGCTGGCTGGTTACGTATATAATAAGTACTGTATATGCTGCTGTATCAGACAAGCTTGCTTGTTACGTATGTAATTAGAACTGTACATGCTTCTGTATAAGACAAACTGGCTGGTTACGTATATAATTAGTACTGTACATGCGTCTGTATAAGACAAACTGGCTGGTTACGTATATAATTAGTACTGTATTTGTTGCTGTATAAGACAAGCTTGCTGGTTTCGTATATAATTAGTACTGTATATGCTGCTGTATCAGACACGCTGGCTGGTTACGTATATAATAAGTACTGTATATGCTGCTGTATCAGACAAGCCTGCTGGTTACGTATATAATTAGAACTGTACATGCTTCTGTATAAGACAAGCCTGCTGGTTACGTATATAATTAGTACTGTATATGCTGCTGTATCAGACACGCTGGCTGGTTACGTATATAATTAGTACTGTCCATGCTGCTGTATAAGACAAGCTTGCTGGTTATGTATATAATTGGTCCTGTATATGCTGCTGTATCAGACAAACCTGCTGGTTACGTATATAATTAGGACTGTCCATGCTGCTGTATAAGACAAGCCTGCTGGTTACATATATAATTAGTACTGTACAAGCTACTGTATAACACAAGCCTGCTGGTTACGTATCTAATTAGTACTGTCCATGCTGCTGTATCAGACACGCTGGCTGGTTACGTATATAATAAGAACTGTATATGCTGCTGTATCAGACAAGCCTGCTGGGTACGTATATAATTCGTATTGTATATGCTGCTGTATAAGACAAGCTTGCTGGTTACGTATATAATTAGTACTGTCCATGCTGCTGTATAAGACAAGCCTGCTGGTTACATATATAATTAGTACTGTCTAAGCTGCTGTATAACACAAGCCTGCTGGTTACGTATCTAATTAGTCCTGTCCATGCTACTGTATCAGACAAGCCTGCTGGGTACGTATATAATTCGTATTGTATATGCTGCTGTATAAGACAAGCTTGCTGGTTACGTATATAATTAGTACTGTCCATGCTGCTGTATAAGACAAGCTTGCTGGTTACGTATATAATTAGTAATGTCCATGCTGCTGTATAAGACAAGCTTGCTGGTTACGTATATAATTAGTACTGTCCATGCTGCTGTATAAGACAAGCCTGCTGGTTACATATATAATTAGTACTGTACAAGCTACTGTATAACACAAGCCTGCTGGTTACGTATCTAATTAGTACTGTCCATGCTACTGTATCAGACAAGCCTGCTGGGTACGTATATAATTCGTATTGTATATGCTGCTGTATAAGACAAGCTTGCTGGTTACGTATATAATTAGTACTGTACTTGCTGCTGTATAAGACCAGCCTGTTAATATACTATAACATACGTACTTTACATGCTGATGTATAAGATCACTTTGCTGGTAACTTATATAATTAATAAATAAGAGTGGTCGGTGGCGCAGTAGGTAGCGCACTTGCCTTTAACCAAGGAGGCCGGGGTTCGATTCCCCGATCGGACGTGAAAAAGGTATAGGGTCACACTACCCGACCAAGTTGGTTTACCCCGGGGACTCAGGTTTCCTCCTTTATTATGACCCTCGCGCTCTAACATCCATGGCCAACAAGAGTGATTAAAAGAAGAGGAATTGACTTGTTTCATAATTGTTGTCAATAAATAAAGTTAACGTTTGTAATTATATATAACTAGTACTGTACATGTTGTTGTGTATGTATATTATATTTTACGTACTGTGTCTTCTGTTGTGTAACGTGTATTTTGTTTACATAAATATGTTGTTACGAAATAGTCCTAATGTAATTAAAAGGACAACATTCACAAACATGGAACATGTTTTTATCTGTTGTTTCAAAATTTTAAAAACTAAAATGATTTTTTCTCCTCTTCTACAGACGCAGCTCTTATTCCTGGTATAGATCTGTCGAGTTCCCCCACGAGTGACGACCTGGCAGTGATCACAGGGATTGTTGGCCCAAGTTTCCTCGTCTTCTTCTTGGAACTCGATTTGGATTACTGTGACATCCAGAAGGCAATGGAACTCCACCAAAGGCAAAGCGAGAAAGTCTTGAACATGTACTTGTTGGAATTCTGGGGACAGAGATTGGGGAGCAAGGCGACCTTCTCCCGTATCATCAGCGCCATGCATGAAACCCACTTGGATACGTCTCAACTCAAACACATCAATCCTCGCAACAGCCATTGCTAATTTAATTTTCCCGTAACCACTACATCTTTCTCCAATTTCATGAAGTCATTCTATGTTACCACATATCGGTAAGATCCTGGACGTGACGTCATGCATTTTATTATGACATGAAGTAACAATGGTTGATGCCGGAATATTCTGTTTCCAGAATCGGACACAGAAATAATAAATGTTCCAAAAAAAACCAATTTGTTTTCCAAATAATAGCATGAACATTTGGGTAGACAATTGTTCCAAAATTCGGTTAACTTCGGGTTCTTACATATTTTGAAAATTAACTAACTCGAGTTACGTAAGCAACCACTCTGACGGGAACCTTGCTATACAGTATAGTCAAATGTGCATGGTTAGGCAAAGTTCTATCATTATACATGTTACAGATATATGTACAATATCAATCTTTTAAATATTTCTTTATATCTTATCACATTTGAATCAAACAGATTTATAGATATAGAGCCTATCCAAACTTCTTTTTATTGATTTACAATGAATACTAAGCATGTGAGTTTATACAGTAGGATTTATCATAGCAACATAAGTTAACTTGACTCAAGCTTTAATATTAGCATTCAGGGAAGTATCTTTTTTTTTTTCTTTTTCTTTTTTTTTCTATATTTTAATAAAGGTACATGCAATGGACTTTACGGAACTATTTCACTATATCTTTTAACGAAAGTTCATTCCCCGGATACAAAGAGGTAATTTATCGAAATTAACAGAAAATTTAAACATCTTTTTGAGATATTTTATAAGATATTTCTAATTTATCTTTTACATTATAAACATTTAATGACAGACGTTTTGAGTTTTAATATAATCAGATATTAGAAAGTCTGCATTTCTTCAGAATGTTTTTATGCTTTTTTCTCTCCATTCAAATTAATTCGTGATCGTCTTAAGAGAGAAGTTGTTCTTAATTCAAGCAGGTACACATCATTAATGGTCTAATAATAGAATTTAATACATTTAATTTCAAATCAGTACATGGTCTTTGCCTATGCAACGTACGTGTATATATGTATATGTAGATATGTATGTTATGGATAAATAACGAGTTGGCGTTGTATAAGCTAGTGAAAGGACTATATGTGTACGTTGATTTTAAAGTTTTCAAACGGCAAAGTATTGCTTTATAAGACTCTCAAAGGCATGAAATACCAAGTTCATATTTAAACAAAAGAGTGATCTGTTCTTTAGTTCTAGAATTCCCTCGAGATTGAAGAGAGTGTAAGCGACTGGCAAGGTGTTTGTGCGTGTGTTTACATTGAAGTTCGCAAATAGTTTCATTAAACAGTATATCCAATACCTCCTTCTCTTTTCGTTGTCATCAATCTGTTTGGAGGAGAGTCAGATTTTGATGTGTTGCATACAGTGAATCACAGTGAACGTTTGGCCGTTTTGGTTTCCAAGTATTGTAGTTGGACAATATATAACGTCATAGAGCGGAAATTCCCTTCAATTCCCGTTTCATTCTTGATTTAGTTCGGTGATAAGACAACGACGACGCAACAAGCAGATTTTAAAATGTCTAACAAGAAAGGCAAAAGTGGTCTTCTATTTACAACTATAACATACCAGTATGGGTACCAGTGGCAGCCGTTGGAGGTATGGTTGCTGCACCATTCGTGGCGACAGGTGATTCCATAGATGAGGCTGATGAGACCGACAACGCTGCACGGGGAATCGGGTCACTCCCAGAAAATGTCACTGGAAGGATGGTAACCAACCAATTCAAAGCTATGGGAGAAGTTGGCGAGGCGATGTGGGGAGATGACGATTAGGGTATGTTTAATTAGTTTTGTACATAATAATTATATGCGTCTAGAATGTTTACATTGTATAAGCAATAATTACTGATGTCTTTTTGAATGGTAATCGTGAACAGGCATCATGGCGACTCATCAATGACGCGATAGGCGTCCATAGCAACAATGACAACAATAAGGACGGTAAATGTTTAGAGTACACAACTTTCATGTACATGTATATTAAATTACCAGTGATATACATCGTGATGAAGTTATGGTTTACTTAATTATTTGCCATTGTTTATGCATTCTATGCAACCCTTGTGTCACGAGCCCGGCGTCCTACCACTAGATTATCGGGCTGAGATAGCCTACATAACAACTATACAGATTTATTTGGCTGCATTGCTATTTATAGCACAGGTAATATTTACCTGTATCATCTTAATAAGCAAAAAAATATTTCACTGTTATACATGTTATATATAATGCTCTACTTATAAGCAAAAAATATACAAATGCAGGGAAAATCCTGGTGGGCGATTTCATTAAGAGTGGCTATTCCATGTAAAATTAGAAGAAAATTGAAACATGAAGAGGTCAATGGCCCTCTCCAGTGCCAATGAAAATAAAAAGCTGTACATTATGTAGTCGATTCCTGTCTTGGTGACGGGTGTCATGGATTTTCAATCACCTAAGCGTGTCGGTGATTAAAGTTTGCATGTTCAAACATGGATCGAAAACAATTACTGTTTTTAAAGTCCTAATCATTTGACGAGAAAGACATGTAATTGAGATTCTAATGCAAATGATGTTATCTTTAATATGTCGATGTTTATGCTCAGTAGATGTTGTGTGATTTCGTTCACCTTAAATAAAGTCGGAGAACAATTGGTCTTATTTACAATTACCAGGGTTGCCAACAACCTTCCTAATACCCTTGTACCGTAGTCACTGGTACTGCTCGGACTCAATTGGGAACCGTCGGCGCTTTCCGTAACCGAAAATATACCTGGAGGCATTTCTCGTTCATGGTAAGTTCGTATACGGAACGTGCCGACGGTTCCGATTGAGTCCGAGAAGTACCAGTCACTACATCACAGGGGAAATGGGAAGGGTGTTGGCATCCCTGGTAATTGTAAATAAGACCAATCTTCCCTATGTTATGAGTTGCCTTCCCTATGTTATAAGTTGCCTTCCCTATGTTATAAGTTGCCTTCCCTATGTTATAAGTTGCCTTCCCTATGTTATAAGTTGCCTTCCCTATGTTATAAGTTGCCTTCCCTATGTTATAAGTTGCCTTCCCTATGTTATAAGTTGCCTTCCCTATGTTATAAGTTGCCTTCCCTATGTTATAAGTTGCCTTCCCTATGTTATAAGTTGCCTTCCCTATGTTATAAGTTGCCTTCCCTATGTTATAAGTTTCCTTCCCTTCTGATTCCACACAAGTTTGGACAGTTTGGATTGCGACCTTTTGGACCCTAACATCACCGATAAGTCCTAAAAGGAGGAAACAGCTGTATGGTGCAGTGTATGGTGCAGTGTATGGTACATTGTATGGTGCAGTGTTTGGTGCAATGTATGGTACAGTGTATAGTGCAGTGTATGGTACATTGTATGGTGCAGTGTATGGTTCAGTGTATGGTGCAGTGTATGGTACATTGTATGGTGCAGTGTATGGTTCAGTGTATGGTGCAGTGTATGGTACATTGTATGGTGCAGTGTATGGTTCAGTGTATGGTGCAGTGTATGGTACATTGTATGGTGCAGTGTATGGTTCAGTGTATGGTGCAGTGTATGGTACATTGTATGGTGCAGTGTTTGGTGCAATGTATGGTACAGTGTATAGTGCAGTGTATGGTACATTGTATGGTGCAGTGTATGGTACAGTGTATGGTACAGTGTATGGTACAATGTATGGTGCAGTGTATGGTACATTGTATAGTGTAGTGTATGGTACAGTGTAAGGTACAGTGTGTGGTGTAGTGTATGGTACAGTGTATGGTGCAGTGTATGGTACAGTGTATGGTACATTGTATGGTGCAGTGTATGGTACAGTGTATGCTGCAGTGAATGGTGCAGTGTATGGTGCAGTGTATGGTGCAGTGTATGGTACATTGTATGGTACATTGTATGGTACAGTGTAAGGTGCAGTGTATGGTACAGTGTATGGTGTAGCGTATGGTACAGTGTATGGTACAGTGTACGGTACAGTGTATAGTAAAGTATATGGTACATTGTATGGTACAGTATGGTGCAGTGTATGGTTCAGTGTATGGTGCAGTGTATGGTACAGTGTATGGTACAGTGTATGCTGCAGTGAATGGTGCAGTGTATGGTGCAGTGTATGGTACAGTGTATGGTGCAGTGTATGGTACAGTGTATGGTACAGTGTATGGTACATTGTATGGTACAGTGTATGGTGCAGTGTATGGTACAGGGTATGGTACAGTGAATGGTACAGTGTATGGTACAGTGTATGGTACAGTATATGGTACATTGTATGGTGCAGTGTATGGTACAGTGTATGGTACAGTGAATGGTACAGTGTACGGTACAGTGTACAGAACAGTATATGGTACAGTGTATGGTACAGTGTATGGTACAGTGAATGGTACAGTGAATGGTACAGTGTATAGTACAGTATATGGTACATTGTATGGTACAGTGAATGGTACAGTGTATGGTACCGTGTATAGTACAGTGTATAGTACAGTATATGGTACATTGTATGGTGCAGTGTATGGTGTAGTGTATGGTACAGTGTATGGTGCAGTGTATGGGACAGTGTATCATGCCATGTATGGTACAGTGTATGCTGCAGTGAATGGTGCAGGGTATGGTGCAGTGTATGGTACAGTGTATGGTGCAATGTATGGTACAGTGTATGGTGTAGTGTATGGTACAGTGTATGGTACAGTGAATGGTACAGTGTACGGTACAGTGTACAGAACAGTATATGGTACAGTGTATGGTACAGTGTATGGTACAGCGTATGGTGCAGTGTATGGTACAGTGTATGGTACATTGTATGGTGCAGTGTATGGTGCAGTGTATGGTACATTGTATGGTACAGTGTACGGTACAGTGGATAGTACAGTGTAAGGTACAGTGTATGGTACAGTGTATGGGACAGTATATGGTACATTGTATGGTACAGTGTATGGTGTAGTGTATGGTACAGTGTATGGTACAGTGTATGGTGCAGTGTATGGTACATTGTATGGTACAGTGTATGGTGCAGTGTATGGTACAGTGTATCATGCAATGTATGGTACAGTGTATGCTGCAGTGAATGGTGCAGGGTATGGTGCAGTGTATGGTACAGTGTATGGTGCAATGTATGGTACAGTGTATGGTGCAGTGTATGGTGCATTGTATGGTACAGTGTATGGTACAGTGTACGGTACAGTGTACAGAACAGTATATGGTACAGTGTATGGTACAGTGTATGGTACAGCGTATGGTGCAGTGTATGGTACAGTGTATGGTACAGTGTATGCTTCAGTGAATGGTGCAGTGTATGGTGCAGTGTATGGTACAGTGTATGGTACAGTGTATGGTTCAGGGCAAGGTACATTGTATGGTGTAGTGTATCGTACAGTGTATGGTACAGTGTATGGTACAGTGTATGGTACAGTGTACGGTACAGTGTACAGAACAGTATATGGTACAGTGTATGGTACATTGTATGGTACAGTGTACGGTACAGTGTATAGTACAGTGTAAGGTACAGTGTATGGTACAGTGTATGGTACAGTATATGGTACATTGTATGGTACAGTGTATGGTGTAGTGTATAGTACAGTGTATGGTACAGTGTATGGTACATTGTATGGTATAGTGTACGGTACAGTGTATAGTACAGTATATGGTACATTGTATGGTACAGTGTATGGTGTAGTGTATGGTACAGTGTATGGTACAGTGTATGGTACAGTGTATGGTGTAGTATATGGTACAGTGTACGGTACAGTGTATAGTAAAGTATATGGTACATTGTATGGTACAGTGTATGGTGTAGTGTATGGTACAGTATATGGTACAGTATATGGTACAGTGTATGGTACAGTGTATGGTACAGTGAATGATACAGTGTATGGTACAGTGTATGGTACATTGTATGGTGCAGTGTATAGTACAGTGTATGGTACAGTGTATGGTACATTGTATGGTGCAGTGTATAGTACAGTGTATGGTACAGTGTATGGTACATTGTATGGTGCAGTGTATAGTACAGTGTATGGTACAGTGTATGGTACAGTGTACGGTACAGTGTATAGTAAAGTATATGGTACATTGTATGGTGTGTATGGTACAGTGTATGGTGTAGTGTATGGTACAGGGTATGGGACAGTGTATGGTACAGTGTATGGTACAGTGTATGGTACAGTGAATGATACAGTGTATGGTACAGTGTATGGTACATTGTATGGTGCAGTGTATGGTACAGTGTATGGTGCAGTGTATGGTGCAGTGTAAGGTGCAGTGTATGGTACAGTGTATGGTACATTGGATGGTGCAGTGTATGGTACAGTGTATGGTGCAGTGTATGGTACAGTATATGGTACAGTGTATGGTGTAGTGTATGGTGCAGTGTAAGGTGCAGTGTATGGTACAGTGTATGGTGCAGTGTATGGTACAGTGTATGGTACAGTATATGGTACATTGTATGGTACAGTGTAAGGTGCAGTGTATGGTACAGTGTATAGTACAGTATATGGTACATTGTATGGTGCAGTGTATGGTGCAGTGTATGGTACAGTGTATAGTACAGTGTATGGTGCAGTGTATGGTACAGTGTATAGTACAGTGTATGGTACAGTGTATGGTGCAGTGTATTGTACAGTGTATGGTACAGTGTACGGTACAGTGTATGGTGCAGTGTATGGTGCAGTGTACGGTACAGTGTATGGTGTAGTGTATGGTACAGTGTATGGTACAGTATATGGTACAGTGTATGGTGCAGTGTATGGTACAGTATATGGTACAGTGTATGGGGCAGTGTATGGTACAGTATATGGTACAGTGTATGGGGCAGTGTATGGTACAGTATATGGTACAGTGTATGGTGTAGTGGATGGTGCAGTGTAAGGTGCAGTGTATGGTACAGTGTATAGTACAGTATATGGTACATTGTATGGTACAGTGTATGGTGTAGTGTATGGTGCAGCGTAAGGTGCAGTGTATGGTACAGTGTATGGTGCAGTGTATGGTGCAGTGTAAGTCGTTTTATATATCAATAATCAGATGCAATCTAATGTGTTTGTTTAACGTTCATCTTTTAACACAAAAGAAAACATTGGCGTTTAAATCTTCCAAAAACAAGTTTGCTTTTTTCAACTTTAATATCTTGTGTTATTTTGAAATAATAACAACTTCAAGCATATACATGAAATAGTGTGAAAGCTTATATCTTATTGTTCACTGGTGCTTGATTGGGGCTGGTCAGGTGTCGCAGTGGATAGCACACTAGCTTTTCACCAAGGTAAACGACATTTCTTTCCCTGATCGGAGGTAAAAAGGTATGAGGCCACCTACACGACCACGTGGGTTTTCTCCGGGTACTCCAGTTTCCTCCCACATTAAGACCCCTCCGCGCTAACACCCTGCCAACAAGAGTGATTAATATAAGTTGAAATAATTTGTTTCATAATGATTGTAAAACAACAAAGTTTGCATTTTATATTGATATTTGATTCAGGAAAATATACACAATTTCGTATTTGGTGTGGATATTGGGGCAAAGTAGAGACGGATCCAAGACTTGATATTGGTTAGGTTAGTGTTTGTGAACTACTACTGGTAACATGATACATTCATTATCATTGGTTGTCAGTATGAAAATATTCAGGACGAGGTTGAAAACGACTTAAAAAGGAGAGGAAATTCAGAATGGACATTTCCATTTGGGAACGGTTTTTTCATCAAGAAACGTCTGCTGGCGCCAGGTGACCTGCATCCTCGATAATCCAGGAGTTACGCTCACTTATGCTCTATACGTCCCTGGAATCTGTCATAGCACAATTGAAGACACGCAGCTAGCTATTTGATTTGTCTCAGGTACAAAAAAAACCTGACCAATCGCTAGGCTGATACCTGTCCTTGAAGACTATAAAGGAGCGACATCCGACTTTAAAGCCGGTGAAGTTTTACCGTTAGGCGACCGCGAGATTCTTTTGGTGTACATCAATAGATCGAACTAGTCTTCTTGTCTTATTAACAAGGTGGCGCACACCAAGCCTTCATTTTTGCTTTGACATTTCCAGGGGTGTAGAGAGCGTAGGTGAGCGTAACCTCTGGATGTCGTGTATAAGTGACTTGATGGTTTTACACCAATTTGAAAATCCCGATGAAAAGAATTCCTCTATTATTTTAATCACTAGAACTAGCTCCAAAACTAAAAACTGCGGTGAAAAGTCCCCATCGTAGAACTGGAATATTACATAATTTGTGGCGTCCCGTCATTGTTGTCTTATTGTGAGGTCCCGCACGTGAATGAGAGTTACGACAGAACATTCTTATATTATTTTCTTATCCTGGACTGTTCTGTCATATACTCAAAGGAATGAGAGAGATTTTCTTTTTAAATCATACCTGTTTCTTGAATTGCTTTAAACATTTTTGAATAATGTTTTTAAAATAGTAATTTCCAGAAGCCTAGTCATGCATTGGTAAAAGTAGTTCTTAAGGTTTGTGTTCATATGTGGCAAATAACAGTTGTACGCTCATATAGAATGGCGTTGTCATACCAAATGAAAGAACAAAACTATTTCTACGTGATTGAGATATTAACATCAACATATAACATGTGTCACTTTAAATAGCGGTCAAGTGGTTAAGATGTCTGACATTCTGCTACAACTAGCCATCCACCACTGGGTCGCGGGTTCTACACCTACATGGGGCAGTCGCCAAGTACTGGCCGTAGGTCGGTGGTTTTTCTCCGGGAACTCTGGCTTTCCTCCACCACCAAAACCTGGCACGTCCTTAAATGACCATAGCTGTTAATAGACATTTCTCAGTTTGAGGCAGACCTCCCACGGCGCCAGAGACGGACACTGAAAGTAGTAAAATCAGGGAACATCTCAAAATTATTTTTCATTTCATCTGTATTAAGGATTCCTGTCCGCTGCTTGCGACAAAACACTAGAGAACGATCTTTTAGTGCTCCTTACCTGCTGTAACATCCCCTGATTTTCATTACATGTACAACTGATAAACTAAACTTCACTTGGCTGATCTCACCTTACTGGGGTTTTTTCAGGAAAGATATTTTTTAATTATGGTTTATACTGAAAACAAAGACACTGTGCATGCNCGGGTGAGATCCTTAACGGAGATATTGAAATTTCAGTTACCACGGTCATATACCTGTCGCATTGAGCCACGAAATACTATAACGACTGTGGTTGCCGGTTACATAATTGCTTACCTGTTGTAGCCATTTACATGTGCGTCTACACACTCCGACATACCCTATACGCTACGTTCCATATACAATTATTTTTTAAATAACTTCAGTATTTGGTTGTCTGGGTCTCTGTTTTCACGCTCCGTGCTAGGTTTACCCCAAAATGAAATAGGTCTAATAGGACGTAAAACACAAACAAACACATTTTAAATGGTACCATCTTTACACTAATTTTACACGTTATAACGTGGCTGTAAATGTTCGACTTTAACATCAGCATTACACAGTCGATCATAATTATTTATTGGCGATATTGAGCGACTCGAAAAGAGAACTACCGTAAAATGGTATTGTGTAGAAGGGGTTTTATTCAATACATTTTCGTATCTTCAACAAGGGTAGGTTTTGCATAGAGTGCATTACAGCGGAATGTGTATTTGTTTAAAAAAAATCTTGCACTGGTGCATATTCAATTCGCATATCACAGTGAGCACGTGACCGTTTAGGTTCCCGATTATTGTAGTAAACACAATTACGTCACAGAGGTGTAGATGGCCATGGAAAGACGCAGGTACAAAAAGGGGAGAGGGGCTTTACAGCTGACCTAGATATAGTATTTCAGCATTCATTATAAAATTTCTCATTAACAATAATATTGCAAATATATTTACTTGTTTTAGTCCCCAATTTCAGTGACAAGGAGAAAAAAACCTTTCTATACTCCTATACGCTTAACCCGGATATTCTGTTGAAGGCCTCGCAAAAAAACATGCGGAAAAACATCATTTCTTGTTTCGTTATCAGTGCAGTTTGATAACACGAAAACATTTAAAATGTCTGACAAGGAAGTCAAAAGTGGTCTTCGTAAATTTTTTACCGTTGTAACGTCCCCTATTTGGGTACCAGTAGCAGCCGTTGGAGGCCTGGTTGCTGCACCATTCCAGGCGGCAGGTGATTCCATAGATGAGGCTGAGAAAACCGACAACGCTGCAAAAGGCGTTGGCTCACTGCCAGGAAATTTTGTCGGAAGGGTGGTTACCAANTTCTTGGATTGTGGACACATACTCTGCTATGTGTGTGCTATTGAACTTGAGGAGAGAGGAAAATGCTGCCACATCTGCAGGAAAGCTTTTTCAAGAATTTCCAAACTATTCTATTAGAACTTTATTTGCATTGTTGCATTAAGACATGTGCCAAAAAATCCTGAAACAGGATGTTTCTTTTAAATGATTTGTTTTTTTTTAAAGTTTCTACAGATAGATATTTGCTGTTGAACTTGAGTATGTGGCATGGTTCTGCCATCCAGTTATTGTTTTTCTCTATAATGGGGCATAATTCAACCAAAACTTTGTCAAATTTTCAAGAAAACTATCTTGTCAAGTTATAGTGATGGTCATTAAGACTTGGTGACATTATTATCACAAATGGATAAAAGTAACATGACTTCTCAATATATGTTACATGGTGAAACAATATGATGCAACTGGATGGTAGTAATTCACAACCATGATATGATGATATGTACTTAAAGTTGTCTTTTACAATAATTTGAAGTTATTTTTATTAAAACTGTTAATACTCATTTTATGCAGCATAAAACATTTTGGGACACTTTGTCCTGTAATTTTTGTTATGTCCATAATTATACGCCGGTCAAATTTGACAGGAGTATTATAGTATGGCGTCGGCCGTCCTGTGTAATCTTTTGTTTGTCTTGCAATCTCCTCATACAATTTTCAACCGATCTCTTTGAAACCTGGTATACATTATAATCATGATATGAATTTGTGTCCCTCTTAAAAGATTTTTTGTCTGGAGATCTCCTCCTACATCTTTTGACGGATTTCTGTGAAACTCAGTAGGCCAAATAATCATGATATGTTGTTGTGTTTCCTTGAAAAGAATTTTGATTCGACAATTTTTCTAAAGGTTATTGCCCTTTGTTCATTTCAGTATTTGATTTTTTGTCCGGAGAATTTCTCCTACATTGTTTTAGAGCATGTCAGCTAACCACTCTTAGAATGATGCAGATCTTATTTCAATGTAAGAAAGTATATAACACTATGTGGCATTCGACGGGCATATATTGTTCCACCCCGCGGTACTCTTGTTTCTTATCCAAAGTGACCTTTATATTTTACACAGATATTGTGCATCATTAAAAAGTGTATCATGTAGTAGCTGGACTTACATGCATGGTTTGCCGGTCCTCCTGGTAAAGTTTATTATCGCATCATGTAATTGTTTTTTTCGAATTCAAAATTTCATTTTGTCAAAATTGCCCTTGTTCTCTTTTGACATTTCAATATTGTCTGGAGATCCACAGTGTCTCCCTAGGGACCTGTCTTCATATGACCCTGGATGTTGTGAAGACGCTTAACCCCAAACAATACAAATCTGCCTCGGATTTTGAATGATATTATGGAAAGTTTGTTGCAGTTATGTCAATTCCTAATTTAGGCCTTTTGAATTACATGTATTTTGAAAAGAATTAATACTCTTTGTTTATCAAGGGGTATATATTATATTATGCATCTGTGGGTGGTGCTTTTGTTCAACTTAATTTGCAGTAAAGTTGTGTTCTATCACACAACAATTTGCTTGCTTATTTCATGCTAAAGAACTTTATACTCACCCTTTAAAAAAAATAGTCAGATTAGTGTTTTCCACATGAAAGTTTAAAACATGCTGATCAGAGTTATGCTGTATGCAGTCATGTGTAATATATACATATAACTATTCTACTGAATCTCATTTGTTGTGTCATTGTGATTTAAAAACACTCCTGATACAGCATGTTTACTTTTAAATGATTTTTCCTATAAAATTTGCACTGAGAGATACTCGGATACTTACCAGGTACTTTAATTAATGCATGCATACTCGTGTGTGCTGTTGAATTTAATACCAAGTTAGTTATTATATAAAATTGTACATGTATTATGTAATGTGCTATCTAATGCTTATAATAACAACCATAATTGAAACTTGGTGTTTGGTCTTGAATATATATATATTTATACTTTTCAATGATATTCTTGAGTTTCCACATTACATTTGAAAGTGTTATATTTAGATCATTTCATGTCTATTGCATATTACATATTTCAAAAAAGAAATTTTACCAAATACGTAATGTTCAACATGCATGGTGGTGCAGGAGTCAAGTCAAGAACAATATGTACTTTTATTGCTTCCATAGAAACTAGGGAGGTCCTATCAGCTGCCTTTCATTTAATAAGTTGCATTATAATTATTGAGAAACAATTATTGCAATATTACATGGTAGTTGATATCTTTCTCAATTATGTATTGTCAACAGTCATTGTAGTGTAAGAATAAGTCGAGTCAGTGTATGTTGAACTCTATAGATCATTATTACAAATAAACGAGATGCGTAAGTGTACATTTTAAAATGATAACACCCAATAATATTTCTTATTTGTTGGTATATATATATATAAAACAGCACTTTCTCTTCTCTGATACAAAATACCATAAAATTGAACATTTTGTGCATGAAACTAAATTAAATAGTTAGCATAAATATGCTACGATACAAAAATAAACCATGCAAATTCAATTATTTGATAAATGTTCAGTTCTAAGGTACATTTGTAGTTAAGCAGGTCGGGTCAGTTATATGTCAGTTAACATTATCAATTAACATCAACATTACCAATACATCTTCACATTTTATAAAGTACATCAAGTTCTTAATCATTGCATGGTTGCTTTATGATTATGTCTCATTACTTAGTATATTGATTTTTCTTCACTCTTACTTTGTGTATTGAAATCTGTTAAATGTTTAAAATTGTTGAAGCATCAGTATTGTACCTTGTATTTTTATTATTAAGCCCTCAAAAAATTTGACAGAACATATAATGGTATGAAGAGCATCCATCCACACTTTGGATCCGCAAGATAACTTGCTTAAATATCCTCAAACTTTTATGAAACTTAGTAAGTATGTACAGTATATGGAGACCAAGGACAAGTTCGAAGTTGGGAGAAATCTGCACATAATTCATTAGCGTCATATGCTCTAATTGGTCAATGGTTTCTGCACAACAGCAGGTCAAAGTTCACAGTTGAGCAAAATCCATGTATAATTAATTAGCATACTGCACTCTGATTTGTCGATAGTTTCCGCACAATAACTAAGTAAAAAAGACCGGATATATGAAAACTAAGGCCAAGTTCAAAGTTGAGCGTAATTCGCAGATAATTAATTAGCTTACTGTGTTCTGATTGTTTGATGATTTCCGCACAATAACTTTGTCAAATACGAGTGGATATTTATCAAACTTGGTCAATGTCTACATGATACAATGAGATCGGCTACGTTTGAAGTTTGGCAACATCTGTGTGATGAATATTATGCTCTGATAGATCAACGTTGTTGGCAGATTATATGTATTTGTGCCAGTCTTTCAGGTAATTCATATGTTTGTCTATCAGTATTTGGTTTGTTCAACCATATTTCATGAACAGTCACACAAATATCTTGACATTTAGTTTTCGTGACCTGTTGAAGGGCAAGGTCACAAAATCAATATCAAGGTCACAGGTACAGAATATAGTTAACATGAGAAAATCTTGTCCATGTGTACCAAAATTTCATAAAATTCTATCAATTATTCTGGACATTAATCTTTTGAGACAAGTTGAAGGTCAATGTCATATGTAGTATCTTTTCATAAATCAACTTTCCAGAAATAACATATCATTCCATATTTATTTTCAGATATGATTACATTCACAATGTGACTGTCTCAACATTTTCCTCACCATCACTTCATATTTCTGAACACCATGTTTCACTGCTTGTTTGCACATTGCGTAAGCTAATTTCCCTTCACTATATTTCACAAGATTTATTAGTAACTTCGTAGACAAGAACTATACATAGACCTTTGCTATAGTAAAACTATAATAGTTAATAAAAACAAATAAGAATTACACCATTAACATTTCTAACTTGATTTATCAAATTTAAAGAATACCACAGCTTTTGTCACATCATCCATCAGATTTTGGATCACAAGGATACTGACCACTCCAATTTAAAATTCTAATTATAACCCTTCCCCAATTTGTTGTCAAAATACTTCAAACAAATCCTGAATCATCTTTGGATATAAATGTGCAAACCTTGTATGTACATGATACATGCATTCATATTAAGGAAAATAGCATTGAAGTTATGTGTACTCATGTCATACAGTGCTATACAAAGAATATAGCTCAAGACAACACATACCATGGTACCCCCGGGTATGTCTCATAACCATCCTGGTCACTTTACTGAGAAAAAATATTTTATTAATTGCATCGATCACTCTAGTTCTCGACTAACTAAAATGTGTTTAATGTATCAAACAGCCTTATATTTTAACAAACAAAAAGTCCCATGTGGGATGCCAACCTAACATGCAATACCTAAAAGAGATATCTATATATATACTTTCAGAGATATCTCATAAACTAAAACTAAATTAAGATATCTATATAAATTTAAATATGACACTAAATCGAAATAATTGGGATGTATCCCAATTAATTTATGACATCTTTATGATACACTGAGATAAGTAGATATGCAATAGGAGTTTAAAACGTATCTAAGGTCAATGTCACTGTAACTACAAATATTCTATTACAGTCTCCATTGCAGAATCCAGCTGATCTTTTTTCTCAAATTAAACATGGTGATTGAAACACTGTAGTCAAGTACAAGAGATCTCAATTGTTTGAGATGTCATAAATTAATTGGGATCACATCCTCAAACAATTGAGATCTCATGTACTTGACTACAGTGTTTCAATCACCATGTTTAATTTGAGAAAAAAGATCTCACCCTATGGTTGAGACGGGAGGATTCCCCAGTCGTACCAAATTGCATGACGTCAAGTCAACGTGCATTGAGCCTATAATGTCAATATTCCTTTATCTCTAACTGAAATAGAGATATCATTAAATGTTACAGGTTAAATATCATTATTCTACACCTTATGGATCTTTTTTTTTAAATATTTAAACATGTTTTTTACACGTGCAACCTTCAAAGTTGGTCTAGGTTTTTTTTTGTACAATATAAATAGCCCTTTAAACTGGAAGCTACTGACAATACATTATTACACTAGGTCTTTTGGTTCTTCAGAAGAAAATGTTTAAAGAAAAAAATTAAGCTGGACATATGCCACACCATGGCATTTATAGTCTTACACTAGTCCATCAAACAGGTGAGCTAAAACTTTTAAAGCCAAATAGGGTGTATCTAGCTAGTAGTTATGAATCATAATGAGATTTCTACTGAGAGACCAACCCAGGTGCTGGAGACACCAATAAAAAAGGTTCTTTTAATAGTACATCCTACAGATCCAATTTCAAATTTAGGAGGACTAACTTTTGATAATTATATAATGTCCAATACATCTTGTATTTTCTCCAAGTCTCCATCTCAGCATTTAAACCAAGTGTAGTGCAGTACTCCTGTAGTACCTGTAATAGTCCCTTTCAAGATGACCACAAAGGTGGCCATATTGAAATTGGGACAGATTTAACTTTCAGTAAACAACAATAATGCAATAAATCTATTTTCAAAACATTTGGGAAGATTCATTGTAACAACATGTTTTTCAATATAAGATGGCAATCATATTGTAAATAGATCAGGGCTGGTATTATGAAACCATTCTCATGCTCAAACTCAGATTCTGTTCTCAAGTCTGTTTCTTGTTCCAGTGATAAATAAAAAAAAAAATCTAATTTTGCCAATGCTTTGAAAGAAGTTTTGAGGGACTTCAAGCCGAATACTGTTAAGAATATTTGCACTTTACTTTTTTACGGTATCACATGATTTAAGCATGTTAAAGAATGTTTGTTTGAGCACAGAATCACTGCTTGAGCATGAGAATGGTTTCATGAATACAGGCCCTGACATTACCAGAACCTAGCACACTTCCATCCCTTTCTCATACATCCCTGCATAATATAATTCTTCTGAAATGGCTCTCTGTGCGAACTATGACAATTAAACATGTTGGCAGGATCTGTATGTCAATTCATCAATTTCATCAATATGAAGAATCATATTGCAGAAAAGTTCAAGTGCTTCATCCCTTGAGGTTGGTGGGTAGAGCAATCTATGTTCTTGGATGATGTGATCTGCCAGAACTTGAAATTCATCACAGACACCATTTGCTGTTGGAGCATGGCAGTACTCTTGTACAATACCATCAACATTTCCTGGTAGAGTCATTTTAAAATCCTTTGTTGCAAATACCTCTGGTTGGTAGTAGAGAACATCTGGCTTTCCAAAAGGACCATCTGCGTTCCTGCTTGGTCTAACTCTATGTTCATTCCAGTGACGCACTACATCTTCCAAATCCTTGCTTACCAGCTGTAAGAAACAATACCGAATACATTGCAGGTGAACATCATCAGTTGTGTCCAGTATACCATGCTCTGTCATTGATTTGAACAAATCCATCCATGTTTGCCCACACATACAGCGAAGATTCCTCCAGAATCTTTCGATTCGTGTATTTCTGAGAGAGGAGCCATATATGAAACTAGAGAGTCCCTGAAAGGGATCAGTGTGGTTCCAACGAAGTGCATACTGCAGGTCACGTACAATGGAGTTCTCAGTCCCTTTATCGGCATAAATGATAAATGGCACACCATTTATCTCACGAACATAATTCATATAAAAATGTGCAATATATTCTGTTTTTCTGTTAGAGCTGCATGCTTCAAGCCAAACAAGCCGTCTAGAAAATCCATCAATTGCTGCATGAATGGAAATACCATAGGGTTTCAGTTTATCCCAACCATCAATATGGATAGCAAAGTTTGGGCCTTTGCTGAGATAGTGACGACGCCGAAACACGTGACGACTGCGAGTATGTACGCCTTCAGCATCTAGTACTGATAGAGCAAGCCTCACCGTTTCTGATGTGACGTTGATGTCATGATCAGTTAGTAACCGTCTCCTCATTGCCCTGTAACCAACATTCTGTCCGGTTTTTGACAATTCTTGCAGTATTACTCTAACTATGTCTTCTAGTGGTGATTCATTGTTTCGTCTATGCAAATTCATGCTTCTAAGTATATATGATGGACTTGTCTTTCACTAACAGCTGTGGCATGACGAAGAGCCATAAATCCGATGATTTCCTTTATAGCATAGCCAGTGTGATAGTATATTGCTATCAGGTCATCCCTGTTCAAAATTGCACCATCATTGACCATCAGGTTATCAAATGCATGAGCTCCAATGTAGTGGTTTCCATTCATCTTTCTGTAAGACAATAACTAAAATACATTTGTATATCTATGTTATATGAAATCATTAGATTATGGTCACTCAGTGTGCAATTTTACGCTATCTTTAATTCAAATAAAAAACAGTTGTAAGCCTACCAGGCAATTTAAATGCATTAATATCAGCTCATTCACAATCAGGGAATTACTGTACACACACAGTGCTTAATCATAAAGGAGGAGTGCCAAATTTGGGCCTTCACAGTTAAATTTTATTTTTTATGCACATCATATGACTAAAATATGGTCAGCATGCGGACCAATCCGAGTTATGAGTGAGGGGGGTAATGTTTATGCGTGTGTGGTACAAGTTTGTGGTGATATATAATTATACAAGAGGCCCAATGGGCCTGCATCGCTCACCTGGTATTAATCTCACACTTGTAATCATAAAAGTGGACTAAAATACAGCTACAGGCAAAATATCAGTATTTCATTCACAAGAACCTATTAAAAGATTTAAACATGAAGTCTGTGTCCTTGAATGTCGAACAAGAACATTAGGTTGAAAGTGGGTCAAGGTCATCCATTTGAACAAACTTGGTAGCCCTTCATCACAGCATGCTACTGGCCAAATAGCATCATCCTAGGGTTTTCGGTTATTGAGAAGAAGCTGTTTAAAGGTTTTTAACATATTTGACCCCTGTGACCTTGAATATATATAAAAGTCATTCGTTTGAACAAACTTGGTAGCCCTTCATCCTAGCATGCTATTAGCCAAATAGCATCATCCTAGGGTTTTCGGTCATCAAGAAGTTGTTTAAAGGTTTTTAACATATTTGACCCCTGTGACCTTGAAAATAGGTGAAGGTCATTTATTTTAACAAACTTGGTAGCCCTTTATCCAAGTTTGCTTCTGGCCAAATATCATCATCGTAGGCCTTTTGGTTATTGAGAAGAAGTTGTTTGAAGTAAAATATTGACGCCGGACGGACGGACGACGAACGCCACATCATGGCATAATCACGTAAATGCATGTTTGTGTTTAGGCCAAAAAAAATGCTTGTGTTTTCGGGTAGACACAAAAATCAAGAGTAGGTAACATAACAAGGGGAAACGGAAACAAAAGATTTTTTAAAAATTGTTTGCCTTAGTAGCAACCAGCTCAATAAGGAAACCCACTCTGATGTAGGCGCTTGTCAACCTGGGAGGTAATGCATCCCCTTTTTATGATAATGTAGCCTTATAAGTTATGCATATTGCCTTTAAGCCTATGTGGGTTCTTACAAGCCCCTGTGTCTGTTCCTAGTAAATATGGTAAATTGGTGTAAACATCGGAACACATGATAATGACTAACACCATTAATCATTAGATTGCATTGTTTTATGGATATTACACGATGAAACAACAGTTTCTGTTCCTACATTTGTACTTACATGTGTGTTAGACTTGCTGGGGCTGCTCACTGCAAGGTACTAACCAGCAAAGTATAGTGTAAATCCTGAGATGTTCCGGAATAACCGAGTGTCTATTTATAACTTATCGCGGCAAAAATTAACTAGATGGCATATCTGGGCAAAAGCAAAATTTAGGTCGAGATCCGTGATAATCTAACTTGACCGGTCGTGATAAATTATCGCGACAGGTCGACATGATTTTGTGAAACGTCGCGTTAATGAAATGAAATAACACGACTTGTCGACATAATTATCTCGACAAGTCGTGTTACCGTAACGCGACCTAGAATAACACGATGGCAGAAATATGCCACCATAGTATATATACCTGTATATACGGTTGTATCTATAATCTCGTAATTACTTATGTCTATACTATATGCCATGTGAACTCGTATCATGGCGATTCCTTGCTGAATTTTAAACAGGATTTCACTTGCCTTGCTTCATTTCCTACGCTTGCCTCCTTGGTCCTGATGCTATTTATTTGCACTTTTGCTTGGGCGACTCGGTGAGATAATTATTCATATAATATTCGCCAAACTGCAAGATGACGATATAGTTAATAAGATTGCATTTGACATTAACGCTCACCATTCTGATTCTATTTATAGAAACAGAATATGTTGTATTCAATGTGCTATAAAGTAGGCCATATCGTCATCTGTCAGCTATTTTGAATTTTGGCAGCCATTGTTTATTTTAAATAATTACCCATGAAATCTGGTTGACTTCATGCATATTTGTTTTCCACGAAAATCTCAATAACGAAAGTGAAAATACATGAGCATATTGCATGAAAAAGTATTCATCTATCTTGTAAGACATCAATCTTGTCTTCTAGAGGGGTATTTCAAGGTTTCCATACTGTAAATACACTGGTAATAGCCGGTGATAGCTCCTTGCAAGTTGTTAGGCGACCCTGTCAAATGCCGATAAACTTGTGGCTGAAATTATTTAACAATTTCTAGCTATTCTATAGCTTAATAACAGTTATGATTCAAGAAATAGTTAGAATTGTCATAAAATACGTTTTAAAGTAAAGAAAATACCTGATCATCGTTGCTCATCGTAGACACAACCGTCCTTCAAAGCCTGGTGTCGTGTCAACTATCCGTCAGTGTGACGTCATAAGGTAGCAGAGTACAGTAGCGTACGGTGGCCATGGGTGATATTTTTTATACAATGAATAACCCCTGTAATATAACATGTATCAATTTTTTTATAAAAAATCAGCACTAAAATTGGCATATACATGATGAAGTGGACAATGTGGAATAGGCGATATCAAATTTCAGACAGGTTTTAAGAAAAAAAATTCTACTTGCTTAAAACTACTCAAAAACGTTTAAAAGGTTACATATATAGGTCAAGATATAGGTCAATAGCCTATTACCTGTGAATGTATAAAGGGGGGTAACTCGCCCTTTTCACAGGCACTTCACAATTCATCACATATGTGTCAATCGTGTAACTGGTAAAGTTGATACCAAACAACAAATAATTCACAGGCTTCTGATGCATTCAGACTAGATTTCAGTCTGTTTCACTCAGTTTAGCACCATGGTAACTAACACATAAAGTTGTATTTATTGAAAATGGGTAAAATATCTGTTTTCATTCTAATTACACTATTTTATATGTTTTTTTCCACTTAATTCAGGAGAAAGATTAAATTAGCAAAGTCAATAATGTCAATAAACTTTATTTCCATAATTACAGCTGAAGAAAACTTTTTTTCTAGTGAAATATGTTAAATGAACAATGTCTGGGGTCACTGTCAATTCTAGGCGAGGAAAGTAAACAACGGTTGCTATGGTGTCATTTGTCTGATGTTTCAGAATATTTGACATTTTTGTGCTGTTCATCGGTTACGGGAAGTGTGTCTGTTGCTAGTTTGTTGTTGTGATGGGTTTCCTGGTATTCATTTTGATATCAGTGAGCCTTGATGATGTCATAGATGCCTATTGATGACGTCATAGTTATGCTGACATCACAGTAACTATGACGTCATCACAAAAGACAGAAACATCCTAGTATCACTGTACTGTTTCGTTTTTCACATGCGCATGATCTTAAAGCATCATATTTCCACCAAAAAGAATTTTTATTCCTGAAAATACAAACCTTTTCAAGTTTTCATTTTTCAGATTACCTCCCTTTGATGGTAGTTTGAGAGCAGAATTGGTAAAAATATCACCTTTCAGGAGAATTCATATTCCTCGGTCACTTTTAAAGTGAGAAAGGAAACAGATACATCTTTTTGTTCATTGTGTCATTTTCAGACATTTAAAAGGTTTTGATTAAATTTTGGGGAAAAGAAAGGGATGTATAAGGTAGCAGAGTACAGTAACGTACGGTGGCCAAGGGTGATATTTTTATACAATGAACAACCCCTGTAATATAACATGTATCAAAATTTTAAAAAAAATCAGCACTAAAATTGGCATATACATGATGAAGTGGACTATGTTGGCTTCATAGTTTTTCAAAAAAAAATCGAATTTGGTTTGAGACTACAGTTTTGGGCATGTACAAATCTGTGTCTACACAACAAAAGCTAGCTTCTCATGTAGTCTATTTTTGTACTCGGCACATGTGTAAATATTGTGAAAAATCCCCCGGAATGACCTATGCTAAAACGTGAGTATTTCTGTTACCGAATAGGCGATATTTAATTTCAGACATAATTTTAAGAAAATAAATTCTACTTGCGGGGGTCAAATTTTGGGATAAAAATCATGATATTTTGCATATTTTGGTGTGGTTTGATGTGGTAACCATGGTTTTCACAAGTTCCAAACCTGGGGAAATCACTTTTTGAAAAACCTATCATTCTTCTAAAAAAAACGTATTCAAAATGTAGTTAATAAATATATATATATATGTAGGTGTGTTGTGCAGGATGAATCCGCTATCCATGTCTATCCGAGACATGCCCTTTATTTTTAGGGTGAAGCCATTTCTACTGTACTCTGCTACCTAACCAGGAGTGAAAAGTATTTACTAGTAAAATGAAATAGGAAAGACAACAAAATTTCCGGAATTTCTTCAAACATACAGAGTTACTTCCCTTTTATCGTAAATGATATTTTTTTTATGTTTCATACAATAAATGTTATTTTTCTTCCAAATTTAATATTATTTTCTCATATATTTCGTATTTTTGTCTTTAGAAAATGATTAATTTATCGATATCTTTAGACATTTTTCATCAATTTTTTCATGCTGAACGAGCTGAACGAGCTTATACGCGTGTATGGCGTTGTTTGTTATTTTAGATTCATTGTGTTTTTGATGTTTTTTACTTGAATTAATCAACTTTCAACGAAAATGTAGTATGTTTTATAGCGTTATTCATATTATACAAACAATTTGAAATTTTCTTTTAAATCATCGATATTTTTAGACACTTTACATCAATTTTGTGTGCTGAACGAGCTGATACGCGTGAATGGCGTTGATTAGGTTTTTGGAATCATGTTTTTTTATGTTTTTTACTTGAATTAATCTATTATTCAACAAAAATTGTAGTATATATTTTAGTTTTATTGACATTTTTCATACAATTTGTATTTATTTAATTAATTTATCGATATTTTTTTAGATATTTGTCATCAAATTGTTCATGCTGAACGAGCTGCTACGTGTGTTGGCGTTGTTTGGTGTTTTGCAGTGATCCTGTTTCGGAGTGATCCTGTTTTCTTGAGTCATCCTTTTCAAAATATTTTTTGCTATAATTGTGTTGAAATATTGAATAAATTACTATTTGAACTATACTGATAATGACCTTTCTCCCTATCTAATGTTTTGTTGTTGTTTCAGGTTGTGCGCGCTGATGGACAATAGACATTTGGTGGAACAATATAACAAGTAGCAATACCAAGGCGCCGGACAGTATCTTCCACAATTCAAGACAGAAACATTGACGTTTAAATATTTAACAAATATATTTCTGCTAGATTAACTACAAATCTGATGTTAATTCAAATCACTAAATCCGAAACAAATAAATAATTCTATCTTATGATGTTTTTTTCATTTATGTTTTTGTCAGGAAAAGATCATTCCTGATTTGATAGGGATATAGTGGCGAGACCGAGATGGATCCAAGATTTTGTATTAGTTTGGTTTGGTTTGGGTGAGGGATTTTATTCAAATTTGGCCTGGAGTATCCTTGGGCAAAGGGGTCTTAATTTGGTATAAATGATGGGTGTGACCCTTTGGGTGAAGAGTTGCGGGTCTCATTAGGGAAATTTGAGGTTTAATTATTTTAAATACTTTTTCTTCTGTACAATTGGAGGGATTTTATGCAATGGGAATAATTTCCCATGGTTGCTTTATTATCAAGGTGAGAGATACAGGCCATCTGTGCCTCTTGTTGTATCTTATATCAACATCTTTGACTTACAATGGTATACAAAGATATGTAACATACACAGATTTAATAAATAAGCATGCGTGGTTGTACAGGGGGAGACAAGTGTCATAGTAATAGAGGTGTACTGCAGTTACATATAATACATGTTAATGATATTCGATGTTAAGTTTCCGAACAGGTTTAAATCATGGCCCATCATATGGAGTCATTTCAGGCTATAACACTTTCTGCTCTGATTTATGAACCACAATAAAAGTTGTTTAATTGAATATTTTAATCGTGTTCTTGAAGATGGTGAAAAAGGCCAACAACTTCCGCAAAATGACTGCTGCAGACTGGCTTCTGATTAGTCGAAATTTATGCGTTGTCCAATATCCCTATGAAAAAGTGTGCAGTGTCACTACGAACACTACTGCGATCTGCGTTGATTTTTTTATTTGACAAAATGTCCGTGTTAGGTCGGGTCCTGATTGGTCGACATTTAGATATTGACCGATGGTATATATTTGGTATGTAGATGTAGTATGTAGGTTGTCAACGGTTAGCCGGTTAGCCGGTTACTAGGGCGAACGACCACGATACGGTTACCAAAATCCTTAACCGAAAAGTCGGACATTTACTTACCCCTTTTGGGAGCCCCATGTTTCCCTGGCTTAGACCTACAAACTATCTGCATTTGTATAGATGCGACCAAATTGGATAGTTTTGTAAGAAAACAATGTTCAGAAGATTACATATTCGTGTTAATTTTGTACTCTAACTTAAATTCTGACAAAGAGAAGTCGCCAACGCCATAAACAACAATTTTAAAAGGAAGGCAGAATACAAAGATGTGAAATATCATCTGTCTAAGTTAGAACGCGCCTTTACATGCGAGATGTAAAGAAAATCTGAAGAGTACACAATTGAATGAGCAAGCATGTCTTAAAATGTTTGTCAATCAAGTTTTGTCCATGAAATATAATTACGGTTACAAACATAAGACCGGTTTGACAACCCTAGTATTATGGCATTGAGATCATTTTCTGATGCATCACTTGCAACTACTGGGTTAGGTCTGGCAACTTATGGTGTAACGGTTCCTGTTACGAGCATATATTGTTATACTTTATAATAATAAATAATAATATATGTACCCTTCAAGAGCGATGATTTCACAACTGCTTTAGTAAGTTCATGTTGTGTAAAAATTCGTGTCCTTTGTTCCTTTGGCCAAAGAAAGGTGTCCTTTGTTAGATATGACTTGCATATTATTTTACATACGGTATATCTCACGCAAATTGTCTTTGCAAAACGTCTCTATGTTTAGGATATTTAGTGGAATGAAAAGTATATGAATAAAAGATAAATAGATAAATACAGGTACTGCCATCAAAAGAAGTGGTAGAATATGTGTTAATTCTCTAATAATAATAATAAATAATATACAACATTTTTATAGCGTCCTATGAAATTTGTAAAATAACTAAAGCGCTTTTCACTATATGAATAATAGTATGATATATCGTTAGTCATAATTGTCAAACAAAAAAACAAAGACTTACAATCACTTTTATGCATTAAGCAAGCAGATGGTAAGCTATTCCACAACGTGGCCAAAACCCTCCTAAAGCACCGGTTTTCATAGGACACAGTACAAGATTTTAAGACACAAAACAATGATTCTGACTCCGACCGCAGTGATCGTGAAGGCTGATACAGGTTAACGAGCTCCTGTAGGTATAGGGGAGCTGTTCCATTCAGTGCCTTGTATGTGTACACATAGAATGTGTACTGCGATCTGTATCGTACAGGTTACCAGTGCAATGAATATAGCACATGTGTGTTGTGCTCTTTCTCTTTTTCGAGTACGAGTAACCAGCCGTGCAGCAGTTGCAGACGGCTTTTTAGTTTGTCAGATATACCACAGAGCAGGGCGTTACTATAATCCAACCGAGAGGTAACAAGTGAATGCACCAAAATATTGCATGCATATGCAGTTATAAGCTGCCGGATACAGCCAATGTTCCTAATCTGGTAGTAACAGGATTAAACAATAGCGTTCACTTGTTTCTCCATGTTTAGTGAACTATCAAAGTATACCCATATGTTTTTAACAACTGGGACAGTCTCAATAGTTCTGGCACAGACCTTGAGCTGGAAAGCCATTGTTTGCTGACACTTTGGGGAAAAGACGATTAGTTTCGTCTTTTCCTGATTAAGCTTTAGCATGTTGGCGTTCATCCAGGTACTGATGTCTGTCAGACAAGCTTTCAGATTTTCTGCAATTGTGTCCCAACTGTCCTTTAGTTTGATGACCATGTACATTTGTGTGTAATCAGCATAGCAATGATAGCGAAGGCTATGGCGACGACAAATTCTACGATCGGATTTGATTACAGGCAATATTTCCGTGGTCCTAACACCGACACTTGAGGAACCCCGAAATCTAGTACTTTTCCATGTGAGGTGGTAGATCCGATGGCAACACAATGTCGTCGTTCACTCAGATAAGACTGTATCCAGCATAGGTGCGATACCCGTCACTCCATAAGAGTACTCCAGACGTTTATAAAGTACGCCATGGTCGATGACGTCAAATGCAGCTGACAAATCCAGCATGACCAGCACCGCTCTGAACTTGTTATCCAATGCAGAAGTTATGTAATTTGGTACACGTAGGAGGGCCGTCTCAGTAGTGCATGCAGGAGGCCGATTGCAGGTTGTTATGGAGACTGTTTGCATGGAGAACCTCTAAACGCCGGGACACAACCTCCTCCAAGATCTTAGACAGAAAAGGCAGATTTGATACTGGGCGGTATTTCTTCAACTCCTCCTTGTCCATTCCAGGCTTCTTCAACAACGGTCTAACATGTGCCTTTTTGACTCAGCCAATGATTAGTTCATGATTGAGGTAATCAAAGGAAGCAGTGCTTCAAGACATTTATTTAATAGGTCTGTAGGCAGTGGATCAAGCTCACAGGACTTCGATTGCGAGGTCATGATGATATTGCACAACTCGCCCTGGGTTGTTGGAGAGAGCTTTGTCAATTGTTCCCCATCAAATTTAATGTCAGCAGTCATGACAGAGATATCATTGTCAGTAATAGAGTTCACTTCCGATATATTTTCCTGATCGAGCTGATTATATAAGCAATCACTGAACGTTTTGACAAGTCTTTTTCAGAACTTCAGCTTGGTAGGATAATTTCACCTTTCTGATTCATTAAGTTTTTTTGTGAGTCTAAAAAGCTGTCTATGGTCCTTACCACATTCTTCAATATTCAATTCTTTCGAAATAAAAAAACCTTCTTTGACTGAATAAGAAGTGAAACAACTAGTCGACATTGTTCCCTATAAATCTGTCGGTGAACGGTTAATTTGGTCCTTCGCCACTGTCTCTCTCCTTTTCTACGGTACTGTTTTTCTACGCGGAGATTTTCATTATACCACGGGGCATTCGGACACCGAGCGACAGTTTAAGGACACTAAATTCAGAGGAATAACTGACTTACAGTGACCAGCTGTTGTTGGCTTGATGACATGTAGATTCTTGTATGATGCTGATGATATCGGAAACCGTGTTGAAGTATCGTAACTTATCAATTTAGGTGAACCGGATTGCGTTTGAATGTGTTTAAGAATCGGTCAACAGTATTTTTTGCATCGTCTAATTAAATCTGTGAAGATTTGTTGAGACTTCGGTTGCGTATTTCAAAAGTAAATGGATAAATTATAGATTTATAAACTTCCGTGTGAAATGCAATTGGCGGCCTCGTTTCCAGATAAATTAGTGGCAGTCATTAATAAAACATTTTCATATTATAGCTGTAACGGGCCACCATAAATGTCTACCGGTTTGTCGCCTCACTGAATCTATGTGAACAAAATACATATGGTATGATTAGAAAATACGGTTCACTTTATCATAACAAAGAGTATCGGATTTTGTTTGCATCTGATTTGCAGCTAAAGCATTACAGTGCATAAATAACTTAAAACATATTCACTGTAGTTTAGAAAGCTGTTGACCTTCAACAAGGTGACAGACATTACGACAGGTATTACATAATATGATGTACAATGCGTTTAACTTTCCGCAACACCTATCACAGTCTCAGTAATGTTTGAACACTGGTTTGTTTATATGTCTCTTCTCGGATCCTGTTGTGGTCTTTTATTTAGTTTCAAGTTACTTTGTTTTATTGTATATCCAATATTTTTACTCACCTGCCTCGAAGTGTCTGTAATGCTATGTTGGGGTATCGTACGTCAGTAACCTATCACAATCTGATTAAAATCATCTGTTACATGGCTCCGCCTGAACATCTGAATGTGCCGCGGACAGGGTCACGTTCAAGTGACCTTTAGATGAACCAATCAGAGGAGCGCTGGCAAACGTTTGCCAGCGAATCGGAATATCATGGTTGATACATAAATAGCGAGGGGTATCGAACAGATTAGTTTTCCAAAACAAATATGGCGGCGGGAACTGACGTTTCTACGACGCCAAGGAAAACGTACCCATTGGGTAATAATTGCGTAGGCAACACCGCCATACAGTCTTTCTTCTCTAATAAAGCTTCGAATATCTTTTTCTGTTCGGGTTTCAGACGATCAATCTCATCAATGTCCGCCATATTTGTTACAACTCCAAGCGCCCTTTTCAAGGAGGGTCTCTGATTGGTCAAAATTTAATGAGTATTTATAAATATAAAGGTCATCTGAACGTGACCCTGACCGCGGCACACTCAGATGTTCAGGCGTAGTACGAAGTTAACGAAGCCATGTAATATATGATTTAAATCAGATTGTAACCTATCAACTATTTGTATGTACCATCTGCGCCAAATAGTCTTAATATTTGACCAGGAGATACCTTGAACGGTTGTACTTTTAAGGTAACTGTGGTCTTACATGTTAAACGTTTCAAACAACATTGTATAACAAAAACACTTGTTTATGCTATAAAGACCAGAAGTGCATATATTTATATGGACAAAACTTTGAAAATTTAGTCCAATAGTCATAGCATAGAAACAAGTAGTCATAAAATGTAATGTTTATGTTTTAGGGGTTTAAATCGACTTTCGGTAAAAAGCAATACATTATATTATAATATATGAAGCAATAATTATAAGGCATGTTATACATTGAACTACTACTCATTAGAAATCATGTCAGCTCATATATTACGTGTACACTTAGCGAGTTTTAAGACACCACGGACAAAATCCATCCCCAATTGAGATAGAGAGATGGGGTGAAAAAATCGTGCCGGGTGAGTAAACGTGTCACCTATGCCCATATATTTTGCACGATTTCTCACCCGGGTGAGAAATCGTGCTAGGGTGAGAAATCGTGTTGCGACCGCAGCACTTTCAGCACGACTTCCCACCCGGGTGAGAAATCGTGTCTGGATGAGAAATCGTGCGGTAACAAACGTCAATCCAGCCAAGCGTTTTACTTGACAATAAAGCAACATACAAAATGTATTTTGCCAACCATTTATAATCGATCCATGAACACTGACCAATGGCCGGTTGATGTTATTGTTCAGGATGTGATAACTACAGTTTTATTTCGTTTTAATCCTGAAGGAAAACCGATCAAAATATGGTAACAGATTGCTTTGTTTTATTGCGGCTAATTATGAACACTCACAATGACGTAACGTCAGAGGTTGACGCACAGTCGAAAGTTTGCGGATCAACATTATATTATAATATAAATAAGAAGGATGACATGTATATGTAATGATATACTACCTTCAGATCAGTTTCATCTACTTTAATATCTGCTCTTAATGTACAAAGGTTTTGAATATAATTTGAATCACGTACGAAAACTTCAAATTTACCTTTTTCACAGTGTAATGTACAAACCATGACTGAATAGTGCGGTAAAAAGTTGGAGATTTTAAGTTAAAGTAATGGCTTATTATGAAATTATTCAAATAAAACAAACCTAAAAGAATGATTTCTTTAACGATATTATATGCATGTATAAATGTCGAAAGCTTATTTTAAAAATCGCAAAAAGGCAGGAAACCCGTTTAACAACATTGTTTACTTTTTCAAGTTATTTACATTTCTAGGCAGAATAAACTCTGTCAAATACCTAAAAATCGGTCTGGTGTCAGTTATTTTCCAATTATAACAATCTATTTTTTTTTATAGAAATTCATACTACAGTATTTTTGAAATTCTTAAGTAATAAGATCTATCCGTTCTGTAAAGGGGCCGTAAAATGTACCTTTTCGAGAAAGAAAGTCCTTTTTGTCACTTCCTGATGAAATGACAAACATATTTTCACATGATTACAGGACGGGACTGTAAATTGTGACGATTACAGGGCGGGGCTGTACATTGTGACGATTACAGGACGGGACTGTACAGTGTGACGCTTACAGGACGGGACTGTACATTGGGACGATTACAGGGTGGGACTGTAAATGGTGATGATTACAGGACGGGACTGTACATCGTGACGATTACAGGACGGGACTGTCCATTGTGACGATTACAGGACGGGCCTGTACATTGTGAAGATTACAGGAAGGGACTGTACAGTGTGACGATTACCAGGACGGGACTGTACATTGTGACGATTTCAGGACGGGACTGTACAGTGTGACGCTTACAGGACGGGACTGTACATTGGGACGATTACAGGTCGGGACTGTACAGTGTGACGATTACCAGGACGGGACTGTACATTGTGACGCTTACAGGACGGGACTGTACATTGGGAGGATTACAGGACGGGACTGTACATTTTGACGATTACAGGACGGGCCTGTACATTGTGAAGATTACAGGACGGGACTGGGCATTGTGAAGATTACAGGACGGGACTGTGCAGTGTGACAAGTTATTTTCCAATTATAACTATCTAATTTTTTTTATAGAAATTCATACTACAGTATGTTTGAAATTCTTAAGTAATAAGATCTTTCCGTTCTGTAAAGGGGCCGTAAAATGTACCTTTTCGAGAAAGAAAGTCCTTTTTGTCACTTCCTGATGAAATGACAACCATATTTTCACATGATTACAGGACGGGACTGTAAATTGTGACGATGACAGGACGGGACTGTACAGTGTGACGATTGCAGGACGGGACTGTACATTGTGACCATTACAGGACGGGACTGTACATTGTGCCGATTAAAGGACGGGACTGTACAGTGTGACGCTTACAGGACGGGACTGTACATTGTGGCGATTACAGGGTGGGACTGTAAATGGTGATGATTACAGGACGGGACTGGACATTGTGACGATTACAGGACGGGCCTGTACATTGTGAAGATTACAGGACGGGACTGTGCAGTGTGACAATTACAGGAGGGTCTGAACAGTATGACGATTACATGACGGGACTGTACATTGTGAAGATTACAGGACGGGACTGGGCATTGTGAAGATTACAGGACGGGACTGGGCATTGTGAAGATTACAGGACGGGACTGTGCAGTGTGACAAGTTATTTTCCAATTATAACTATCTAATTTTTTTTATAGAAATTCATACTACAGTATGTTTGAAATTCTTAAGTAATAAGATCTTTCCGTTCTGTAAAGGGGCCGTAAAATGTACCTTTTCGAGAAAGAAAGTCCTTTTTGTCTCTTCCTGATGAAATGACAAACATATTTTCACATGATTACAGGACGGGACTGGAAATTGTGACGATTACAGGGCGGGACTGTAAATTGTGACGATTACAGGACGGGACTGTGCAGTGTGACGATTACAGGAGGGGCTGTACAGTATGACGATTATATGACGGGACTGTACATAGTGACTATTACACGCGGGGGCTGTACATTGTGACGATTACAGGACTGGACTGTACAGTGTGACGATTACAGGGCGGGGCTGTACATTGTGAAGATAACAGGACGGGACTGTTCATTTTGACGATTACATGACGGTAATGTACATTGTGACGATTGCAGGGCGGGACTTACATTGTGACGATTACAGGAAGGGGCTGTACATTGTACCGATTACAGGACGAGACTGTGCAGTGTGACGAACACAGGAGGGTCTGAACAGTATGACGATTACATGACGGGACTGTACCTGGGGATTTTTATAGGGCGGGGCTGCAAATTGTGACGATTACAGGGCGGGTCTGTACAATGTGACGATTAAAGGGATGGGACTGTACAGTGTGACGATTACAGGAGGGTCTGTACAGTGTGACGGGACTGTACATTGTGACCAATACAGGACGGGGCTGTACATTGTGAAGATTACAGGAAGGGACTGTACAGTGTGACGATTACAGGGCGGGGCTGTACATTGTGACGATTACAGGACGGGAATGTACATTGTGACGAATACAGGAGGGGACTGTACAATGTGACGATTACAGGACGGGACTGTACATTTTGACTATTACAGGACGGGGATGTACATTGTGACGATTACAGGACGGGACTGTGCAGTGTGACAATTACAGGAGGGTCTGAACAGTATGACGATTACAGGACGGGACTGTACATGGGGATTTTTAAAGGACGGGCTGTAAGCTGTGACTATTACATGACGGGACTGGGCATTGTAACGGTTAAAGGAGAGGACTGTACGGTGTGACGATTACAGGACGTGGCTGTACGGTGTGACGATTACAGGAAGGGACTGGGCATTGTGAAGATTACAGGACGGGACTGGGCATTGTGAAGATTACAGGACGGGACTGGGCATTGTAACGGTTAAAGGAGAGGACTGTACATTGTGACGATTACAGGACGGGACTGTACAGTGTGACGATTACAGAACGGGGCTGTACATTGTGAAGATTACAGGACGGGACTGGGCATTGTAACGGTTAAAGGAGAGGACTGTACGGTGTGACTATTACGGGACGTGGCTGTACGGTGTGACTATTACAGGACGTGGCTCTACATTGTGACGATTACATGACTAGACTGTACAGAGTGACGATAACAGAACGGGGCTGTCCATTGTGAATATTACAGGACGGTGTGTACAGTGTGAATATTATAGGACGGGGCTGTACATTGTGACTATTACAGGACGTGGCTGTACATTGTGACGATTACATGACTAGACTGTACAGAGTGACGATAACAGAACGGGGCTGTCCATTGTGAATATTACAGGACGGACGGAACTGTACATTGTGACGATTACAGGACGGGACTGTACAGTATGACGATTACATGACGGGACTGTACATTGTGAAGATTACAGGAAGGGACTGGGCATTGTGACTATTACAGGACGTGGCTGTACATTGTGACGATTACATGACTAGACTGTACAGAGTGACGATAACAGAACGGGGCTGTACATTGTGAATATTACAGGACGGGACTGTACAGTTTGACGATAACATGACGGGACTGTTCATTGTGACTATTACAGAACGGGGCTGTCCATTGTGAATATTACAGGACGGGGCTGTACAGTGTGTCGATAACAGGACGGGACTGTTCATTGTGACTATTACAGGACGTGGCTGTATAGTGTGACAATACCAGGACGGGGTGTACAGTATGACGATACCAGGACCGAGTGTACATTGTGAATATTATAGGACGGGGCTGTACATTGTGACTATTACAGGACGTGGCTGTACAGAGCGACGATAACAGGACGTGACTGTACAGTTAGACGATAACAGGACGGTGTGTACAGTGTGACGATAACAGGCCGGGGGGTACAGTGTGACGATAACAGGGCGGGGTGTACGGTGTGACGATATCAGGGCGGGGTGTACAGTGTGACGATAACAGGGCGTGGTGTACAGTGTGACGATAACAGGGCGGGTTGTACAGTATGACGATAACAGGCCGGGGTGTACAGTGTGACGATAACAGGACGGGGTGTACGGTGTGACGATATCAGGACGGTGTGTACTGTGTGACGATAACAGGACGGGGTGTACAGTGTGACGATAACAGGACCGGGTGTACAGTGTGACGATAACAGGGCGGGGTGTACAGTGTGACGATAACAGGCCGGGGTGTACAGTGTGACGATAACAGGACGGGGTGTACAGTGTGACGATACCAGGACGGGGTGTACTGTGTGACGATAACAGGACGGGGTGTACAGTGTGACGATAACAGGACGGGGTGTGCAGTGCATTATTGAAGCAATTATGTAATTATTAATGGAAAAGGACGTTTTTAAGTTGTTATAAATTGGTGTAACGTGGAGTCATCTCGCTCACCGCTCCACGCTCACTCCACGGGAGAGTAGATGGAATATTCTCCATGGTTGAGTGTGGAGTTGACTTTTTTATATCTCCCCTCCATGCTATAGAACGCCCCCGCGAAACGTTGGGATCGTATGCTTCGACGCAGTGTGTAGTGTAGAACGAAATTTCCATACCAAATGAAAATAATAACGTCCCGGTATAGTTCAGCTATTAACACAAGCATATCACGTGATGGTAATACTGTAGTAAGGTTACACGTGTGGCCGTAATAGTATTTTTTATTCCTTGGGCATGTACAACTAGTGCTGCCATTTCGGCGCTGACAGCTAGCATTCAACAATTTTAGCACTGCCCAACCACGTACTCATTTTACAACTGAGTAGACTGGACCAAGCGGAGTAAAGTATCTTGCTCAACGAACTCGCAACCCTTTGGTCACGAGCATGGTGTCCTACCACTAGACTACCCTGCCTCAATGTGCCCCCTACATTACACGTGTGACTCTTGACACCAACATTATACAGCATCACGTGACTGTAATTGTACCATCTTAACATCAACATTACACGTGATAACTTGACTGTAATGTTACGTTTCTAATAAGGTCCTACTACTTTTACATATGACGTTTTCGTATCTTAAACCAGGGTAGGGTTTTGAATGGCTTGCATTACAGCGGAGAATGCATCTGTTTAACTTGTAAACCTTGCACTGGTGCATAAACATGTACCATTCCTTTATCATAATGAACACTTGTTAGGACAATAGATTACGTTACAGGCTTTTTTTTTAATATTATAAGATAAAGTTACACAAGAAGCCGAGAGGGTAAGGGTTAGGTTGAGGTTAATACCTAAAACCCTAAGCCAAGAGGGCTGTAAATATAATTTTTAAGTAAAAAAAAAAGTAAATAAAATATTCTCATTAGCAATAATATTAGAAGTATTTAGTATCATTTCCTCGTTCTGGTCCAAGTATCAATGACAAGGAAAAAACACCTTCCAGTTGTCAATTACACATAACCCGGATGTTCTTTGAAAGGCCCAACTAAAATAGTGCGTAAAAGCATATACATTTCTTGTTTCGTTATCAGTACAGTTTAATAACACGACAACGACGCCACAAAACATTTAAAATGTCTGACAAGGAGGTCAAAAGTGGTCTTCGTAAATTTTTTACCGTTGTAACGTCCCCTATTTGGGTACCAGTAGCAGCCGTTGGAGGCCTGGTTGCTGCACCATTCCAGGCGGCAGGTGATTCCATAGATGAGGGTTTGGACACTGACAGCGCTGCAAAAGGTGTTGGCTCACTGCCAGGAAATTTTGTCGGAAGGGTGGTTACCAACCCGTTCAAAGCCATCGGGAAAGTTGGCGAGGCGATGTGGGAGGATGGCGACAAAAAATAAAAGGTCGGTTTAATTGGTGTTGTACAGATGTACTGTATACTATATATATACCTGTGTAAAAGGTCGGTTTACTTGGTGTTATACAGATGTACTGTATACTATATATATACCTGTGTAAACGGTCGGTTTAATTGGGGTTGTACAGATGTACTGTATACTATATATATACCTGTGAAAAAGGTCGGTTTACTTGGTGTTGTACAGATGTACTGTATTCTATATATATACCTGTGTAAAAGGTCGGTTTAATTGGTGTTGTACAGATGTACTGTATACTATATATATACGTGTGTAAAAGGTCGGTTTACTTGGTGTTGTACAGATGTACTGTATACTATATATATACCTGTGTAAACGGTTGTATCCCGGTATAAGTACTTATGTCTATACTATATGCCATGTGAACTCGTATCATGAGATTCCTTGATGAATTTTGAACAGGATTTCACTTGCCTTGCTTCATTTCCAACGCTTGCCTCTTCGGTCCTGATCAATTTTTATTTGCACTTTTTCTGGGTCGACTCGGTGAGAGAATCATTCATTGAATATTCGCCTAACTGCAAGACAACGGTATAGTTAATAGGATTGCATTGACATTAACTTTTTCTGAAGTACTGATATAGTTTACAGGTTTTTTTCTTATTTTTAAGCAATGCTTTGTGATAACGATGGGTTGTTTTTTGGAATACTCTATTATAGAGAAACTGAACATAACTTTCATTTTTGTCTTGGGGTAAGTTTGATCTGTCACGAGAGATATGATGTCGATCTGGCCTACCCTTTTTTACCCAGAATGCATCATTCTGAATCAATTTATAGAATCAGAATGGTGTATTCATTGTGCTATAAAGTAGTCTCGCTCAACCAGACGCTTGATCACTTGTAATTCAAGAGTCTGGTCAAACACGGTACTTTCAAATTACCATCATCAGAGGGCAGTGTTTTTACTTTCGTTTCGGACGTTATGTCAACGCCTTTAAACATTTCAATGAATAATGAAATTAATGAAAAGCAATTAATTATACATGCATTTATGAAGTACTCGTGTATTCACTATTATCGAGAACAATGTAAGAAAATGTGTCAAATCTCCAGAATAATGCAATATATTTCCACTGAATAAATCATAACTGAGCACAAAGCCAACAAGGCTGACTGAAGTTGGAAAAAGCATGCATGGTAAGTGAGATTTTACCTGTACACCATTCAAAACACCTACAAGTCTCACTCAGGTAATCTGGCTTGACTTGTATATGAATTTCATTTATTCATGAAAAGTAACAATTTAAGAAAATGACACAACTGCCGCTGACAAGAATTGGCGCCGTGTTAAAATATTATCCAATCCGGTGTAAGGGAAATAACTCTTATGTTGGTAAAGTCGCATCGAGAAATATAATTCAAATATATTCCAAGAACATTTGTGAGATTTTGTGATGAATTGTACATTCAATGACAGTAAATAAAGTCACTACATATATTAATAATTATTATTGATATGAATAAAAAATAGATAAAAATAAAAGGAGTACAATGTCTCTTTTCTCCATGCATGTTTTTATCCCACTACTGTTAAATAACCTTCATTTCACAAGCACACAATGCACCTATTCTTTATTACCCATTCAGCGATTGCCATTCTGGATGTAAATGCTTATGTCACATCATTGGAGGATACTAATGAATGAGAAACAAAAATAATGCGTCACAAAAAGGGTGAAAAAAGAGGAGAGGGAGAAATGTTTTTAAGACATTATTTAAGAGGTGATTGATTTTCGAAATTCCAAAGGCAACATCATCACATGACCTGATTTTTAATTAGCAGAATACAGAACACATATCTGAGATATTATAGTGGATATTGAAGCTCAAAGTAATTAAATTTAACGTGGTGAGCGGCTTTAATATCACACTGACATAATTCTAGTTATCTTTAGAAAATGGTAAATTTATCGATATCTTTAGACATCTTTCATCAATTTGTTCATTCTTGAACGAGCTGAACTAACTGATAGGCGTGTGTGGCGTTTTATCATATTTTAGATTCATCCTGTTTATGGAGTCATCCTTTTTGATGTTTTTTACTTGAATTAATCAACTTTCAAAGAAAATGTATTTCTTATAGTGTTATTAATATATATCAAACAATTTGAAATTTCTTTTATTAGTTTATCGATATTTTTTGACACTTTACATCAACTTTGTCATGCTGAACGAGCTGATACGCGTGAATGGCGTTGATTGGTGTTTTGGAATCATCCTGTTTTCTGGAGTCATTACTTTTGATGTATTTTACTTGAATTAATCTATTTTTCAACGAAAATGTAGTATTTCTTTTAGTTTTATAGATATTTTTCAAACAATTTATATATTTTTTTATTTTTATTAATTTATCGATTTTTTTTTAGAAATTTGTCATCAAATTGTTCATGCTGAACGAGCTGATACGCGTGTTGGCGTTGTTTGGTGTTTCGGAGTGATCATGTTTTCCGGAGTCATCATTTATAATGTGTTTTACTTGAATGTTTCTATTTTTCAACGTAAATGTATTTTTATTTAGTTTTACTAATATTTTTCAAACAATTTATATTTTTTTCCAAATTTAGTATTGTTATTTTTTACCTTTGTATTTCCCATACATATAGGCGTGTATGGCGATGTTTGGTGTTTTGGAGTCGTTCTGATCCGGAGATATTCTGTTTTTTGCAGTCGACCTATTTTTTGAGTCATCCTATTTTCTGGAGTCTTCCTTTTTGATGTGTTTAACTTGAATTAATCAGTACTTAACGAAAATGTATTATTTTTTAAACAAATTAAGTATTTTTAAAATCATTTCAAACAAATAAAGTATTTGTATATTAATTATTCGATAATTTAAAGAAAACAGAAATATTTTCTATTGGGTATATTGGATATAATATTGGATGCTGAACGAGCTGAACGAGCAGATACGCGTGTTTTCTGCATGATGGTGTTTTGGAATTAACCTATTTCTGGAGCCATCCTGTTTTTGGGAGTCTTCCTATGATTCAATATCGTATAATGTAATGCTGACAGAAAATATCCAACAAATATTTTATTTTTTTCAATATTTACAAAGTGAACACTATCATCTCATCAATAGCATCACAAGAATTTTTAACATGGGGTATTTTTGTAAGTTATTTGCAGTTCCGTAAAGTAACAAAACTAGACATATATGCAAATATCCTTCTAGGATTTGTGATAGAACTCAATGTGTAGAAACGAATAATGTTACCGGTGAAAAATGTAAGATGATTTGTAGAAGTCGGGAATAGTTTTGATGCACATTCTAATGAAGAAGGTATATGTGTTAAAATCTCATAAGATGTCTAAAATGTCACCTCATTTATGATACAAAACAAATCCCTCAACACGAATATAATAAATGTTTGCAAATAGTAGAACGTGGACATTTATATTATCTAACAGATAACGTAAAGGGTGACACATTACATATTCTATGATTTTTGTCAAACAATTTCTCATCAGATGAAATATTATTAATTCATTTGATAAACCAAACAAACATTCTTAACAGATTTTTAAATTTAAAATCTACCTGATGTCTTAAATTCAATCAAGGGTTTTATACACCTATCCCGCTGTTTCAGATTCGTTGTATTTATTTTCGTGATTTCATAGCTACAACGAAATTATTTAATGTCGTACACTGTTTTGAATGCAAATGGTATGCTTTGAATGCAATCAATAATCTTTGAGTGAAAATACTACGTTTTAAACGAAATAAAATGTTCTGAATCGGATATTGGGTTCTGATACTGGAAGCAGTGTTGTTTTTTAAAGCAAATTTAACGTTTATAAATGTAGGTGGTATGTGTTTTCAATGCAAATACTATGTAGTATGTTTACATGGAAACGATGTTGTGAATGTAAACGATATGCTTTGAATGCAAAACACATCTTGAGTGAAAACAATGTTTTAATGCAAATAAAATATTTTGAGTGCAAATGATATATATTGAACGCTTATAATAAGTTTTGAATGAAAATTATGTTTTGAATGATGTGTTTCGGGTGAACATAATTTGTGTGGGATCTAAAACAGTGTAACATGCTATATTGCTTGTTTTTGAATGCAAACGATATGATGTGAAACAAACACCTTTCAGCATGGTTGTTAAGTATTATGAAATTTTGTGTTTGATATCTTGCTTTAACAAAGCTTTTAATTTACCTTTATTACATGACGATGATTTTATAAAATGCAATCAACGTGACGTTGATACTTCATACTTCATAATGGCATTTTTTTCACTAACCATGACGTATTACTTACAATAGTGAGTAGTAAGGAAACATGTTCAGTTTAGTGTCTAGGTTATTGATCTTTAAACTACCGTCTATGATGCTCTTTGGGTTAACTCTATTTCTTGTTTATGGCATGAGTAATGTGAATACAAAGTTGTCCGACTGTGTTCCCCGAATTCTCGTTAAGATAGTTGAAATATAGACTTTGCATTACAATACAATACGATTACATACGTTGAGTATTTCATACAACATACGCATGTCCGTATAAGGTGGTAGACTATATTGAAATTCGGCTTTATCTTCTCATACTTCTTTTTCACTAAATTGAAGAAGATTTTGAGGAAGTAATATAAGCTGTTAGCGTTTGTTGTCATCCGTCTGCAATTGCAGGCATGCTAAAATTGTGTTAAAATATTGAATAAATTACTATTTGAACTATACTGATAATGAACTTTCTCTATATCTATTGTTTTGTTTGTTATTTCAGGTGGTGCGCGCTGATGGACAATAGACATTTGGTGGAATAAAAGAACTAGTAACAATACCAAGGCGCAGACAATATCTTCCACAATTCAAGACAGAAACATTGACGTTTAAATATTTGAAATATATATTTCTGCTAGAATAACATTGAACACTTAAAAATACTACAAATATGATGTTTAAATTACTAAATCCGAAACAAATAAATAATTCTATCTGATGGTGTGTTTTTCATTACTGCTTTTTGTCAGGAAAAGATCATTCCTGATTTGATGGGGATATTAGTGGCGAGACCGAGATGGATCCAAGATTTTGTATTAGTTTGGTTTGGTTTTGGTTTTTATTTGTTTATCGTCCTAGCAACAGCTAAGGTCATATAAGAACAGTATCACGAATAGTGGGGCCACTGACGGGCTCTTTTGAAGTGCCACCACACTGAGATTCCAGAACCTGGACACGGTAGCAGTGACACCACAATCAGTCACATTATACTGACACCGATCCAACCAGTATTTGTCTTGACCGCCGACCATTTAATGCTGAACGTCAAGCAGGGAATGGTCAGTCAATTTTAGAGACTTTGGTTTGTCTCGGTCAGGGGACAGGACAGCCCCCCCCCCCCCCCCCCCCCCCCCCCTCGCTTGGGCGAACGGTCAACACCACGGCCAAGCGAGGTATTGTGTCAAGAGAGGCGTTAGGAAACGGAAAGGTAGTTAGAAAGAAGAGAAAAGATATATCACAACTATTGCAATTGGGTGCAGCAGATCCACTGTCTCTCCCAATTCTGCAGGGGGATCCTTCATTAGTCGCCTACTACGTACACTTTTCTCGGTCCCCGACCTGCAAGGGTGTTTTGTATTGGTCATGAGTAGAGGTAGCAAATGAAACCTCAAATTTCATTATTATTCTACAGCGCGTCCAGCGATCAGGGTTGTTGGTTACTTTTTGCCTTTTTGTGAACTCCATTTCTTTGCCTCATTTTAGTTCTGATGTTATGGTTCATTCAAGATGCATCATTTGGTCTAACTGTAATAGTTTTACATGGAGTATATCTTTCAATTTGCCCAGAAATTCATTCGAATGAGATTGGTAAGCTAGTTATTGCCAATCCATATTTAGTAGGCATTCATTCATTTGGTTAAAATCAGCAGCATCATATTGCCAGATATTTTTTTTATAAGGGTTTTGCTTAAATACACTATATGATATACTAATATGGACTGGAGAATGATCACTACAAAATGGATCGCGTACTTGTGTACCTCTTATAATATTTCTATTGTTTGTAAATACAAAGTCGATGCAACTAGAGCTTTCTGGTGTAATACGTGTGGGTTCATTTATTAGATTGTATAAGTTAAATTTAGAAAGCAATATTGATAGATGGGAAGTTGGTTGCAGAGAAAGAAGATTAGCATTAATGTCCCCTACTAATAAAATATCTAGAGAAAGGTATGATGCTTTTTCAAAAATGCTATCAAGTTTCGTCCAAAATTCAACATTTGAATCAGGAGGCCTGTATAGACAGCCTATTAAAGATATATGTTTGTTGATAGTTACTTCCAACCATAGTAGCTCAATATCATCTATTCCAAGATCATGTCTCCTTTTGGTTAAAACAGAATCTTTATAATAGACCAGTATTTCACCTCCCTGTCTGTTGAGTCGGTCTTTTCTATGAGGATTTATCGAATGAGAATCAATAATAATATCACTGTTTGGGATTTCAGGTTTAATATGCGATTCAGTGATACAGATAATGTCATTGCTATTTAGTTCAGCTTTAATTAAGTCAGTTTTATTACGTATAGATCGAGAGTTTAAATGGACAATATCTAGATTTCCTAAGGGACCAGGGTTTTCCTCTATATCAGACGATACTGTCAATAACATGAGCATGATACTGTATATAAATGATAGGTTATTCCAATCTACATAACTACTGTAAGATGGCGTCAAAGGACCGCTGGTCAGGTCATGAAGCGTCAATGTAAGTTAATGATAACACATTTTTTTTAAAGTATGTCACAGTAACGTATTAGGTGAAACAGCAGTTCTAAGCTCATTTCTGAACCGAATGACAGTTTTTAGTAATATAGATCAAATTTTCAAAAGTAGGTCAAATTTACTGTATTAAGGTTAACATCAGTATGTGCATATTTCTGAATCCAAATATAATTTTTATTATTGTATTTCAAACATTGAGAAGTAAGTCACTTCACGATGGACGCAAGGTACGACTTAATTAAGATCGTTTTGGAACTTCGGACAAGGAAGGGTCCGTTTTTAACGGCCTACACGTTGAAAAGTGTCCCCTTATGGGATCCATTTTCAACGGGGTCCCTTTTCAACGTTACACCGGCTTTCTGGCCATTCAAATCACTGTTTTTGTCTGTGCAAATCCCTTGATATCCCACCCTCCTGCCCCTATATGTAACCTGTATAAGACAACCCCATTCTGATTGGCTTAATCTATAACAAACGCGCGTTTAGCTCGGAACCCCTTCCAGCGACTCACCCTAATCTGGTCGTCTCAAAAGTAAACACCCATTTGAACAAATAGACTGCACCAGTGATAGCCGCTATAAACGCCGATAGAATAGCCGTACCGTACGTACCTTTAGTTACACTAGGATGGCAATAAAGGGATATACAAGGGTAACTGTAAAATAAACACTTACGCTTACAACTGGTTTTCCAGCAGAACTTTATTTCTGGCGCATAATCACATAATTGTAGGAGCGGTGCTAATGCTATATATTAGTACATTGTAAATAGCAGTGAGGGCTATACTCTCAGTAATGCTGCTACTCACAGAAAGGATGTAGAATGGAATTGCAATACCGAATGAAATAATACTATGATCGTACGAACTAAGTTGAACCAACCGATCACTTAATCACGTCACGTTAACAGCTCAGCTATTAACATGAGCATATCACGTGATTGTAATAGTACGACTTTTACATAGTTTACATTTCACTAGATAACGTGATGATAATAGTACGATCGTGCACGAACATTACACGTGTGACCGTAATAGTACACCATAACATCAACATTACACGTGTAGCCGTAATAGTACAATATAACATCAACATTACACGTGTGGCCGTAATAGTACAATATAACATCAACATTACACGTGTGGCCGTAATAGTACAACATAACATCAACATTACACGTGTGGCCGTAATAGTACAACATAACATCAACATTACACGTGTAGCCGTAATAGTACAACATAACATCAACATTACACGTGTGGCCGTAATAGTACAACATAACATCAACATTACACGTGTGGCCGTAATAGTACAATATAACATCAACATTACACGTGTGGCCGTAATAGTACAATATAACATCAACATTACACGTGTGGCCGTAATAGTACAATATAACATCAACATTACACGTGTGGCCGTAATAGTACAATATAACATCAACATTACACGTGTGGCCGTAATAGTACAATATAACATCAACATTACACGTGTGGCCGTAATAGTACAATATAACATCAACATTACACGTGTGGCCGTAATAGTACAATATAACATCAACATTACACGTGTGGCCGTAATAGTACAATATAACATCAACATTACACGTGTGGCCGTAATAGTACAATATAACATCAACATTACACGTGTGGCCGTAATAGTACAATATAACATCAACATTACACGTGTGGCCGTAATAGTACAATATAACATCAACATTACACGTGTGGCCGTAATAGTACAATATAACATCAACATTACACGTGTGGCCGTAATAGTACAATATAACATCAACATTACACGTGTGGCCGTAATAGTACAATATAACATCAACATTACACGTGTGGCCGTAATAGTACAATATAACATCAACATTACACGTGTGGCCGTAATAGTACAATATAACATCAACATTACACGTGTGGCCGTAATAGTACAATATAACATCAACATTACACGTGTGGCCGTAATAGTACAATATAACATCAACATTACACGTGTGGCCGTAATAGTACAATATAACATCAACATTACACGTGTGGCCGTAATAGTACAATATAACATCAACATTACACGTGTGGCCGTAATAGTACAATATAACATCAACATTACACGTGTGGCCGTAATAGTACAATATAACATCAACATTACACGTGTGGCCGTAATAGTACAATATAACATCAACATTACACGTGTGGCCGTAATAGTACAATATAACATCAACATTACACGTGTGGCCGTAATAGTACAATATAACATCAACATTACACGTGTGGCCGTAATAGTACAATATAACATCAACATTACACGTGTGGCCGTAATAGTACAATATAACATCAACATTACACGTGTGGCCGTAATAGTACAACATAACATCAACATTACACGTGTGACCGTAATAGTGCAATATTACATCAACATTACACGTGTGGCCGTTATAGTACAATATAACATCAACATTACACGTGTGGCCGTAATAGTACAATATAACAAAAACCTTACAAGTGCGACTCTTTACACCAACATTATACGGCATCACGTGACTGTAATTGTACGATCTTAACATCAACATTACACGTGATAACTTGACTGTAATGTTACGTTTCTGATAAGGTCTTACTTCTTTTACATATGACGTATCTTAAACCAGGGTAGGTTCTTGGGTAGATTGCATTACAGCGGAGAATGCATCTGTTTAACTTGTAAACCTTGCACTGGTGCATAAACATGTACCATTCGTATATCATAATGAAGACTTGATAAGACAATAAATTACGTCACAGTTTTTTGTGTTTTTTTTTAATATTATAAGATACAGTTACACGAGAAAGCGAGAGGGTAAGGGTTAATACCTAAAACCCTAAGCCAAGAGGGCTGTAAATATACTATTTTTAAAAAAAGTAAGTAAATATTCTCATTAACAATAATATTATAAATATTTAGTATCAGTTTTTCGTTCTGGTCCCAATATCAGTGTCAAGGAATACAACGCCTTCCTGTTTCGTTATCAGTACAGTTTAATAACACGACAACGACGCCACAAAACATTTAAAATGTCTGACAAGGAAGTCAAAAGTGGTCTTCGTAAATTTTTTACCATTGTAACGTCCCCTATATGGGTACCAGTAGCAGCCGTTGGAGGCCTGGTTGCTGCACCATTCCAGGCGGCAGGTGATTCCATAGATGAGGGTTTGGACACTGACAGCGCTGCAAAA